TCACCACAACATGAGGACCTGTACTAAGGGGTCACAGCATTAGGAAAGTTGAGAACCACTGCCCTAATCCCATCTGTATGAACAGCTGGCCATGTTGGGTCCGTGTGCCAAGTTTGGTTCAGATCTGACGTGGGCTGGGGGTTCAGTGTGCCCTCTGTCTGTAGGGTAAACTACAATTCCCACCATGGTGAGTCAGTCCCCTCAAATCCCTCCGCTTCTGCAGGAAGGTAATCGCGGAGCGTCCAGTCATGCTGGCCACATGACCTTGAAGGCGTCTACAAACCGCACCGGCTCTTAGAAATGGAGATGAGCACCAACCCCCCAGATTTGGACACGATTGGACTTAATATCAGGGGAAAACCTTTACACACAAACACACACACACACACACACACACACACGCCTTCTAGTGGCACAGTGGGTTAAACCACTGAGCTGCTGAACTTGCTGACCGAAAAGTTGGTGCTTCGGATCCAGGGAGTGGGGTGAGCTCCCGCTATTAGGCCCAGCTCCTGCCAACCTAGCAGTTCAACAAACCACACACACACCCCCAAAACAAAAAGTAAAAAAAACATACCAGAATTCCAGAGGGATTCACAGCAATGAAGCAGGAACCAACGAATTCGAAATACAACAAAACCAGAGGACAACGAAAGACAGAAGAAGCTCCTGTCTCTCTCTCACCAACGGTCAAAAGTGAGATTCCAACTGCCAACTGCCTTTACCTGGATTGACAGCAACGCATCAGAATGGTCTCCATGGCTCCTCCCTGAAGATTCCAACGGACACCCCCAGGATGAAATACTACATTTATTGATTTATCGTGCCTGAAGCCAGTTGAAGGGGCGGCCAAAATGCATAATAAAATAATACATAATAATATATTCGATTATAACATAATATAATATAAAATATTATATTATAATAAGAAATACTAATACTAATATAATTATATTATGATATATCGCATTATAATACAATAATATATTATAATATAAAATGACATCATAACAATAATATAAGAATATATAATAATAATTGTATTATATCATTATCATACTATATATAATATTAGTTAAATAATATACTTATTTATCATATCAGAAGTGGGGTGAAGGTACAGTTACAATGCATAATAAAATAATAATACTATATAATGTTATGTTATATTATAAAATATTATATTAGAATAATAAATACTATTATTGTTATTATTATTTATACTGCATATTGGCCTGCATCAACAGGAGTCTAGTGTCTAGATCCAGGGAAGTCATGCTCCTCATGCTCTATTCTGCTTTGGTTAGACCACATCTGGAATACTATGTCCAATTCTAGGCACCACAATTCAAGAGAGATACTGACAAGCTGGAATGTGTCCGGCGGGGGGGGGGGGGGGGGGGGGCAACTAAAATGATCAAGGGTCTGGAGAACAAGCCCTATGAGGAGCGGCTGAAAGAGCTGGGCATGTTTAGCCTGAAGAAGAGAAGGCTGAGAGGGCCATTTATAAATATGTGAGAAGAAGTCATAGGGAAGAGGGAGCAAGCTTGTTTTCTGCCACCCTGGAGATCATCCATCTCTGGACAGAAAATAATAATAATAATAATAATAATTATTATTATTACTATTATCTCCTTCTCTGAGGTTTTTAAGTAGAAGTTGAATGGCCATCTGCCAGGAGTGGTTTGATTGTGTTTTCTTGCAAGGCAGAAATATATCCTAGTTATATTTCACCTGGTCATGCCCAGCATTATTTTAAAACTTTAATTATTACATTTGGCCCAGCCATAGGTTTTTAAACGTCGTTGTGTTATTGTTAATGTTTATTGCTTATTTTCTGCTTATGCGTTTCATTTATTGTTTTGTACTACTGTTGTTATTGTTTTTACTGTTGTGTTGTGGACTCGGCCTCATGTAAGCCGCACCGAGTCCCTTGGGGAGATGGTAGCAGGGTACAAATAAAGTAATATTATTATTATTAGTATTATTATAACAGAGCTGGGTGGGTAGGTTCTGGGGTTGTGTTCTCAAAGAAAGTAACTTTTCCAAGCTCTAGGTTACAACAATAATGAGACCCAGATTCCTGCCCCAAAACAGGCCCACCAAAGTCATGCTTTTCTCCTGAACCATCTATGGCTGATCCAAAGTTGGAAGAGCTGGAGAACTCCCAATAACCAAGGGGTGGAGGATTCAGCACCTTGGAGAGTTCCCGGCCTCTTCATGTTCCCTGGGATCCAACCATTGCAGATCCCTACCATACGAAACATTGAGTTGCAGCATCTCAGAGCATGTCTAGCCTTTTCTTTCAACCACAGAGTGCCCCGAAGCCATTTGGACCCCAGTCAAATGTAATCTCACTGGCAACAAAGATCCGCATAGTTAAGGCAATGGTATTCCTCATAGTGACCTACGGATGTAAGAGCTGGACCATAAGGAAGGCTGAGCAAAGGAAGATAGATGCTTTTGAGTTGTGGTATTGGAGGAAAGTTCTGAGAGAGCCTTGGACCGCGAGAAGATCTAACCAGTCCATACTTCAGGAAATAAAGCCCGCCTGCTAATTGGAGGGAAGGATAACAGAGGCCAAGATGAAGTCCTTTGGCCACATCATGAGAAGAAAGGAAAGCTTAGAGAAGACAATTATGCTGGGAAAATGGAAGGAAAAAGGAAGTGGGGCCGACCAAGGGCAAGATGGGTGGATGGTATCCTTGAAGTGACTGGATTGACTCTGAAGGAGCTGGGGGAGGTGACAGCCGACAGGGAGTTCTGGCGTGGGCTGGTCCATGAGGTCACGAAGAGTTGGAAACAATTAGAGTCAAAGATGAAGTACTTCGGCCACATCATGAAAAGACAGGACAGCATAGAGAAGACAATGATGCTGGGGAAAATGGAAGGAAAAAGGAAGAGGGCCAACCAAGGGCAAAGTGGATGGATGGCATCCTCGAAGTGACTGGATTGACCTTGAAGGAGCTGGGGGTGATGATGGCTGACAAGGAGCTCTGGCGTGGGCTGGTCCACGAGGTCACCTAGAGAAAACAATGATGCTGGGGAAAATGGAAGGAAAAAGGAAAAGAGGCCGACCAAGGGCAAAGTGGATGGATGGCATCCTTGAAGTGACTGGATCGACCTTGAAGGAGCTGGGGGTGGTGACGGCCGACAGGGAGTTCTGGCGTGGGATGGTCCAGAATGCCACAAAGAGTCGGAAACGATCCTTGAAGTGACTGGATTGACCTTGAAGGAGCTGGGGGTGGTGACGGCCGACAGGGAGCTCTGGCATGGGCTGGTCCATGAGGTCACCTAAAGAAGACAATGATGCTGGGGAAAATGGAAGGAAAAAGGAAGAGGGGCCAACCAAGGGCAAGGTGGATGGATGGCATCCTCGAAGTGATTGACTTTGAAGGAGCTGGGGGTGGTGACGGCTGACAGGGAGCTCTGGCGTGGGCTGGTCCATGAGGTCACGAAGTGTCGGAAGCGACTGAACGAATGAACAACAACAAAGGGAAGAATGAGGAAAGAATAAAAGGTATGAGGAAAAGGGAAGAAATAAAGAAATAAAGAGAAATAAGGGAAGAGAAAGGTGGGAAGAGAAAGGAAAGAAAAGGGAAATCTGCTTTTTGTGGTTGTTGGTCTTGTTTCCCTTTATTTGTATTTGTGTTGTCATTCTCAATTTGTTGGATTTAAGTGCACAATTTAATGAAAACTACGTTTTTCAAAACCCATTAACCAAAAAGTAGGTCTCAGTTCAGAGCTTTGAAGAGCAGGCCTGGAGAATTCCTCTGGTGCCAGTCACAAAAATGGCGACGCTTGCCCAAAAGCAACATGGCGGCGCTGGCGTCAACCCTTCCGGACGCGCTTTCAAGCCCGCCAGGCCCGCTCCGCTTGCCGTAGTTTCCGCTTCCGGACTGTCGGAGCGAAGGCTCCGGATTGAAAAATGGCTGAGGAGAGCGGCTTTGGTGTGAGGAAGCCGGGGAAGAGAGCGAGGTGAGTTTGTAGGCCGCGAAATGAAAGCGAGGGAAAGGCTGCGGGTTCAAGACATGGATAGGCCGTCTGCTCTGGAGGTTTTGAAGCAGAGACTGAGTGGCTCTCTGTTGGGAGGGCTTTGATTGTGCCTTCCTTCCTGGCAGAAAGGGAGTTGGACTCGACGGACCCCATCTCGATAATAATAATAATAATAATAATGGTATAATTATAATATAATATAATAATTATATTATAATTATAGCATTATTATAATATAATATAATAATTACAGTATATTGTAATTATACCATTATAATATAATATAATAATACTATATTATAATTATTGTTATAATTAATATTATATAATTATATTATAATATAGGAGCCCCCGGTGGCGCAGGGGGTTAAACTGCAGAACTTGCTGACCAAAATATCAGTGGTTCATATCCAGGGAACAGGGCGAGCTTCCGCTGTCAGCCCTAGCTTCTGCCAACCTAGCAGTTCGAAAACATGCAAATGTGAGTAGATCAATAGGTACCACTCCGGCGGGAAGGTAACGGCGCTCCATGCAGTCATGCCGGCCACATGACCTTGGAGGTGTCTACGGACAACGCTGGCTCTTCGGCTTAGAAATGGAGATGAGCACCACACCCCAGAGTCAGACATGACTGAACTTAATGTCAGGGGACTACCTTTACCTATATTATAATATAATATAATAATGGTATAATTATAATAAAAATAGTTATTGTCTCTTCTAATTGTAGTAGTGGTAATTTAGTAGTAGAGAAGCCATTGAAATCCACAAGCATGTGGACAATTTCAACAGAAAGGAAGAGACCATGAAAATGAACAAGATCTGGCTACCAGTATTTAAAAACTCAAAAATTACAACAGCAAAACAGCAGAGAGGAAACAACCAGGCATATCTTAACACCTCTCAACAAAAGATTTTCCCAGGCTCAGCCAGGCCTTCAAATGCTAATGAAGGTGGTCATTTGAAACATTCACACCTAGCTCCAGCAGAGAAGAGCTCTTTGCCCCACCCCAGCCATTCCACAGATATATAAACCCACTGTCCCAATTCCAACAGACCTCACTACCTCTGAGGATGCTTGCCATAGATGCAGGCGAAACGTCAGGAGAAATGCCTCTAGAACATGGCCCTATAGCCCGAAAAAACCCACAAGAACCTTATTTATTTATTTATTTATCGTGTCATCAGCAACCATTGTATTACATTTCTAACAGAACAAAACAAACACACAGATTAAAAAGAAACCCACAGATTTTGCAAACTTGGTAGTTGGCTAAATGTCCTTTGACCAGTGTCTGGCCACTTGGAGTGCCTCTGGTGTTGCCGCAAGAAGGTCCTCCATGGTGCATGTGGCAGGGCTCAGGTTGCATTGCAGCAGGTGGTCAGTGGTTTGCTCTTCTCCACACTCGCATGTTGTGGATTCCACTTTGTGGCCCCATTTTTGAAGGTTGGCTCTGCATCTCGTGGTGACAGAGCGCAGTCTGTTCAGCGCCTTCCAAGTCGCCCAGTCTTCTGTGTGCCCAGGGGGCAGTCTCTCATCTGATATCACCCACAGATTGAGGTGCTGGGTTTGGGCCTGCCACTTTTGGACTCTCACTTACTGAGGTTTTCCGGCGAGTGTCTCTATAGATCTAAGAAAACTATGTCTTGGTTTAAGTCGTTGACATGCTGGCTGATACCCAAACAAGGAATGAGCTGGGGATGTCACTGCCTTGGTCCTTTCACTATTGGCTGCTACTTCCCAGCGGATGTCAGGTGGTGCAATACCGGCTAAGCAGTGTAATTTCTCCAGTGGCGTAGGCCGCAGACACCCCGTGATGATGCGGCATGTCTGATTCAGAGCCACATCCACTGTTTTAGTGTGGTGAGATGTGTTCCACACTGGGCATGCGTACTCAGCAGCAGAGTAGCATAGCGCAAGGGCAGATGTCTTCACTGTGTCTGGCTGTGATCCCCAGGTTGTGCCAGTCAGCTTTCGTATGATGTTGTTTCTGGATGGCCTTAAGTATTTTCTTTTGATCAGGGGGGTTCTGTGTGGGAAGTTTGCCCCAATTCTGTCCTTGGTGGGGTTCAGAATGCTCTTCGATTGTAGGTGAAATATATATCCGAGTAACTACAACTCCCAAATGTCAAGGTCTATTTCTCCCAAACTCCATCTGGGTTCATATTTGGGCATATGGAATATTTATGCCAAGTTAGGTGCAGATCCATCATTGTTTGAGTCCACAGTGTTCTCTAGATGTAGGTGAACTACAACTCCCGAACTCATGGTCAATGCCCACCAAACCCTTGTAATGTTTTCTGTTGGTCATGGGAGTCCTGTGTGTCATGTTTGGTTCAGTTCCATCATTGATGGAGTTCAGAATGCTCTTTGATTGTAGGTGAACTATAAATCCCAGTAAGTACAACTCCCAAATGATAAAATTAGTGATGGTCACTCCTTGGGTTAGTAGGTGTCTTGTGGCCTAATTTGGCGGCAATTTGTCCAGGGGTTTTTGAGTTATGTTAATCCCACAAACGAACATTACATTTTTATTTATTTGGATTATCAATTTAATCATTCAGCGTGTGTTGCAATGAACATACTAAATGCTCCCGACTGGCTGACAGTCTTCACTGGGACATTTTAGGGGTAATAATGATAATATCTTTATTTATATCCTGTTTTTCTCCCTAAATGGGACCTAAAGGGGCTTATATTAAAATTATGCTAGGGCTTATTTTCTGGTTAGATCTTATATTTGGGGAAACAAGGTAATAACTGCTGGGGCTTGTCTTTCTCAGGCATTGCTGGCGATGAAGTTGTCAAGATTGTTGTGAGCCCATTTGGAGAGATGGATCAGGAAAGCGGGCCAGAAATGGCCGAGGTTTCACCGGGAAGTGAAAAGATGCAGTCAGATGTCTGTGAGCAACAAGCAGAAGGCCATCAGGACGGAAAAGCATCTTCGTCAATAGAGCTTCCTGGAGATAATAAAGAGGAAACACCGAGCTCTGAAGGTATATCTAGCAGTATTTGTATTTCATAATTAATCCTCACACTGATGAATCTAAAATCAGTGCTGGATTCCTTCTTCCTGTCTTTTCTTTCCTTCTTTCTTTTGTGATATGTCTACATAGGATGGGATGAGAAAGGCTATTTTGGAGGAAAAGTCATGTTTGTAAAGTTTGTTTAAATTTTCTTTGTTGTCTTATTCATTATCTTGACTTTGGAATGATGTGCTGGCAATTAAAAACCCATCTCTTCCAGTCAATTATAAATTGTGAATTTTTTTCTGCTTTTCATCAATAGATTTTAACCTGTTTTTGAACAGCATGTGTCTTGTGTGTGTTTAAACAGTGTTTTATCTCTTGTTTTAATGATGTTGTACCCCAAGCCACAGGGAGAGGTGGGTAATGAAATTATTATTATTATTATTTGACTAGCCGTCCCCTGCCACACGTTGCTGTGGCCCAGTCTGGTGATCTGGAAAATAAAGTAATGACAAAGTGTTGGTTTCTAATATATTTAATTTCTTTATGCTTGTGGGTGAACAGTATTTCTTGCTGTTTCTTTGTCAGCGTTGATGTCGAGATTGTCTGGTTTGCCTACTCTGGAACATGCAACATATAATTGTCCTTCTTTAGGGGTCCCTTTCAAATCTATGATACTATATCTGTGTGTGTGTGTGAATCATATCTATCTATCTATGTATGGCTGGATGGCTCTTTGGAGGGCTTTGATTATGTTTTCTTGCCCTGATGAAGGAAGTTGGATTTTCTGATGGTCATGGGGGTTCTGTGTGGGAAGTCTGTTGTTCATGGGGTTCAGATTGCTCTTTGGTTGTGGGTGAACTGTGACTACAACTCCCATCTGTGTTCATATTTGGGCGAATTGAGAGCTTGTACCAAGTTTGGTCCAGATCCATCATTTTTTGAGTCCACAGTGTTCTCTGGATGTAGGTGAACTACAACTCCCAAACTCAAGGTCAATGCCCACCAAACCTTTCCGGTATTTTCTGCTGGTCGTGGGAGTTTTGTGTGCCAAGTTTGGTTCAATTCCATCGTTGGTGGAGTTCAGAATGCTCTTTGATTGTAGGTGAACTATAAATCTCAGCAACTACAACTTCCAAATGACAAAAGCAATTTTTTGAGTGAAGGACATTGGGTTGTTAGTGTCCAAATTTGGTGTCAATTCCCCCAGTGGTTTTTGATTTCTGTTAATAAACGAACATTACATTTTTATTTATATAGATTATTATTATTATATTTATTATTATTATTATTATTATTATTATTATTATCATCATTATTATTAGGTCTCCAGAAGTTCAAGATTAGGCTTCTGCTCAGAGCTTTCTTCAGGTTCCTGTCTGATTTTCTGTGTTTTCCCATGCTTTTTCTTCCAGCTGTCAGCCTTTTGCCGAAGATGGAGATAGGAGAGGTGGGAGACCATTCTCTGGATGGGAAAGGCCTGAAGTCTGTGCATAGTGTGGAGCCGCTCCAAGAGGTCAAGGAAGAGGCTGAGGAGATGGGACTCATCATCCCTCTGGGTGAGTCTTGGGAAGGTGCACCTCCAACGTCACTTTAGGATCACCTCTGACATGTGCTGTATTTTCAGACTGGGAACGCTATGAACTTGTTGCCTTGGAGCAACATTTAGAGAACGGCAGAGCAACTCTGTGAACCATTTACATTACTTTATCTGGTTCCTTCCTTCTAAGGGCCCAGCTTATCTCCTTCATTCAACTGACACACCATAATAACAACAACAACAACAACTGTTTGAAGCTGGGTACAACAGGATTAAATCAGAAATTAAATCAGGGATTAATTCATGCCAGTGTTCTGGCCCAGCTTACTTGTCTGAACGCATCCACCCCTACATCCCACCTCGTAATCTAAGATCATCCAGGGAGGCCCTGCTCTCGCTCCTGTCAATAGCACAGATGCGTCTGGCGGGGACGAGAGACAGGACCTTCTCGGCTGTGGCCCCTCGCCTATGGAACACACTCCCAAATGAGGTAAGATCCACTCCCTCCCTCCTGGGTTTTAGAAAAAACATTAAAATCATGGTTTTGGGACAGTAGAAGTAAATGTATGCAGCATTTCAGAAAGACAATGACTGGAACGGCGATTCGACGGACAAGACTGTTTTATTGTTTTAATGATTGTTTTATTGCTTGTAGATGTACTGTTTTAACTTGACTTATGTTTAATTGTAGTGTATTTATTTATTTACTTATTTATTATTTGAACTTTTATTTATTTATTTATTATTCGAACTTATATGCCGCCACTCCCCTGGGGCTCGGAGCGGCTTACAAGAATGGCTAAAATCTAACACAATTTAAAAGCAATTTAAAACAATTTAAAAACAGCAATATCAAAAATCAAAGGCCTGTCGAAACAGGTATGTCTTACATGCCCTGCGGAAAGCTGGTAAGGAAAGCTGGTAAGTCCCGCAAGGCACTGACTTCAGGTGGCCAAGTGTTCCAGAGTGATGGTGCCACTCCTGTGAAGGCTCTGCGTCTGGTTGCTGTTAGACGCAAGGTCTTGACACTGGGAATTTCCAATAGATCTTGGTCCTCAGAACGGAGGGATCTCTGGGGTTGGTAGGGGGTGAGGCGGTCCCTCAGATACATCGGCCCCAGACCATGCAAGGCCTTAAATGTGAGTACCATCACTTTGAAAGTGATCCGGTGCTCAATTGGTAACCAATGCAGCTGTAGTAAGATTGGTGTTATGTGGCATCTCATCGGAATTCCCGCAAGAAGCCGAGCAGCTGCATTTTGTACCAACTTGAGCTTCCGGATCACCGACAGAGGGAGGCCAATGTAGAGGGCGTTACAGTAGTCCAGTCTTGAGATGACCGTGGCCTGGATCACCGTAGCTAGGTCGTCCCTGGACAGGAGGGGGCCAGCCGTCTAGCCTGCCAGATGGAAAAAGGCGGTTCTGCTCACAGCACAGACCTGGGCCTCCATCGTCAGCACAGTGTCCAGAAGGACTCCCAGACTCTTTACCAGTGATGACGGGCGTAGTGCCTCACCATCCAGGGTAGGCAGCTGGATGTCCCTACTGCCCGGTCGACCCAGCCATAGGATCTCTGTCTTTGCTGGATTCACCCTCAACCTGCTGGCATCCAGTCACGGCCTCGAGGCACTGATGGAAACAATCGGGTACAGTCCGGTCGGCCTTCCATCTTCAGCACCGGCTGAGTGTCATCGGCGTACTGATAACACTCCAGCCCAAAACCTTGAACCAGCTGAGCAAGTGGTCGCATATAGATGTTAAACAACAGAGGGGAGAGAGTGGCCCCCTGAGGAACCCCACAAGATAGAGGGGACCTCTCAGAGACCAGGCCTCCCCTCTCCACTTGCTGTCCACGGTTGTGAAGAAAGGAGGACAGCCAGTTTAAAGCTCTCCCCCTGACTCCAGCAACAGCAAGGCAGTGGGTCAAAAGATGGTGGTCGACTGTGTCAAATGCTGCTGTGAGATCCAATAGCACAAGCAGCGCTGACCCGCCCTGGTCAAGCTGGCATCGAAGGTGATCCGTGATGGACACCAGCACAGTCTCTGTCCCGTGCCCCACACGGAAACCGGACTGGAAGGGATCTAGTCCGGCTGTGTCGTCTAGGAATTGCTGCAACTGCTCCGCTGCTGCCCTCTCAATCACCTTGCCCAGGAACAAGACATTTGAAACTGGGCGGTAAGTGGAGGGAACCGAACAATCTAAGTCTGGTTTCTTCAGCAGGTGAGAGACCACCGCCTCTTTTAAACCCTCTGGAAAAAAGTCCTTGCTCAAGGGAGCTGTTTATAATCTTCCACAGAGGGTCGCGTAATCCCTCCAAGGAGGATTTCACCAACCAAGAGGGACACGGATCGAGGGAGCAAGTGGTTGGTCTAGCTGCAGCTATGAACCTATTGACAGCCTCTGTGTCTAGCGGGATGAACCGGTCGAGGATGGGCCCAGCAAGTGGCCACGGAGTCTCAAGTTCTCTCTGTATCAATTGTGACGGGGAGGTCCCGGTGAAGTAGCGAGATCTTGTCTGCAAAATAGCTCTGAAAAACCTTGGCTGAAGGGGCCTGATCACCACTTTTTGGGACGGTAGGAACCGTCGTTAGAGATCGAATTATCTTGAACAATTTTGCTGGGCGTGAGCTAGCATACGCTATCAAAGAAGCATAATATACCCGCTTTGCCTTGGTGATAGCATGCTCTTAGGACTCCCTAAATGCCTCATAAGCTGATCTCGATGCTCCATAATTGTTTGTACTGGCATTGAATTTTGCCATTACTTATGTGTAAACAGTTTAATAATAATAATAATAAGAATAATAATAATTTATTTGTACCCCGCTACCATCTCCCCAAGGGACTCGGTGCGGCTTACATGAGGCCAAGCCCAAAGTACATCAAACAAAACATCAATAACATTCCCCCTCAGGGTGAGAAAAGTGCTTTACAAATACTGTAAATAAATAAATAAATAAATAATGCATGTTTACTTCTCATTTCCAGAAGAGCAAGAAGAAGGAGGAGGAAAGAGGAAGAAGCGGAAAGCCACAAAGCGAAAACGGGAAGGAAAAATCCTTGAGGAAAATGAAGGACGGCCCTTGGATTGCGATCTCAAACTAGATGACACACTGGACAAGACTTTGGAAGATGGGGCAAAGCAACACAACTTGACAGCTGTCAATGTACGAAACATCTTGCATGTAAGTCAAGGGGCTGGAGAATGGGAATGCAGGTGAAAAACAGTTAAGGGTGATCATGAAAAGCTGAAATCAGTAGCCACACAAACAGCTTAAAGTATTAGGTTGTTATAGGTTTTTTCGGGCTATATGGCCATGTTCTAGAGGCATTCTCTCCTGACGTTTCGCCTGCATCTATGGCAAGCATCCTCAGAGGTAGTGAGGGAAATGTGCAAGTTTTGATGTGGCCCTTTGGACCCCACTTTTTCATCTCCTGCCTTTCCAACAAGACCTCCCACTCATAAGTTGATGACTGATGTTTCTCTGTGTTGCAATAAAGCATTCTTTCTGTGTTTGGGCCTGCAGGAAGTGATCACAAATGAGCACGTTGTGGCCATGATGAAGGCTGCAATCAGCGAGACAGAAGACATTCCCATGTTTGTAAGTCTCTCCCTCTGTATACTTTTGGGATGGAACCCGAGGCTGCTGTAGGAAAACTGGAAACCAGTTTGCCCCTTGAGAAGAAAAAGAATCAGTTGATTAGTCTCTATTCCTCATTTTTCTCTTTCTTAGGAGCCGAAAATGACTCGCTCCAAACTGAAGGAAGTGGTGGAAAAAGGAGTGGTGAGTTCATGCATATATATTTCCCCTTGTCCTTGTTAGTTTGGTAGAATTTCTTCATATTTATGTTTCATATGGATCAAAACTTAGTAAAGGGGCCATGGTGGCACAATGGGTTCAACCGTTGAACTGTTGAATATGCTGGCGGTTCAAAGCCGTGGGTTGGGTTGAGCTCCCGCTGTTAGCTCTATCCATGGTTGCCCCTCAACTCTGGAACTCACTCCCCAAGGATATAAGACAAGCCCCCACATTGGCAGTCTTTAGGAGGAGCCTGAAAACGTGGCTGTTCCAGTGTGCCTTTCCTGAGTAAAGGAAACAATCTCCTGCAAATACTCCGAGAAGCACTTTAATTACCCGTTGGGTTGCTCTTTACTTTTGATTCAAAACCCTCCTACTAGATACACCCTCTGTTCTTGTCCAGCATTTATTTTTAAGGTTTTAACTATTACATTTGGCCCAGCCATAGGTTTTTAAATTCTTGTGTTTTATAGTCTACTTGTGAGTCAGCAAGATGGAGTGGATGAGGGATTGGAGGACATCCAACCCCAAATTGGGAAAGAAGTCGTCCAGGAATACCTGGCCGCTCTTAATGAGTTCAAGTCCCCAGGGCCAGATCAACTACACCCCAGAGTATTGAAGGAACTAGCAGAAGTCATTTCGGAACCATTGGCAACCATCTTTGAGAGTTCTTGGAGAACGGGAGAAGTTCCAGCAGATTGGAGGAGGGCCAATGTGGTCCCAATCTTCAAGAAGGGAAAAAAGGATGACCCAAACAACTACCGTCCGGTCAGCCTCACGTCTATACCGGGCAAGATTCTGGAAAAGATTGTTAAGGAAGCGGTCTGCAAACACTTAGAAACAAATGCAGTCATCGCTAATAGTCAACATGGATTTATCAAAAACAAGTCATGCCAGACTAATCTGATCTCTTTCTTCGATAGAGCTACAAGCTGGGTAGATGCGGGGAATGCCGTGGATGTAGCGTACCTGGATTTCAGTAAGGCCTTCGACAAGGTCCCCCATGACCTTCTGGCAAGGAAACTAGTCCAATGTGGGCTAGGCAAAACTACGGTTGAGGTGGATCTGTAATTGGTTAAGTGGAGGAACACAGAGAGTGCTCACTAATGCTTCCTCTTCATCTTGGAAAGAAGTGACAAGTGGAGTGCCACAGGGTTCCGTCCTGGGCCCGGTCCTGTTCAACATCTTTATTAATTACTTAGATGAAGGGCTAGAAGGCATGATCATCAAGTTTGCAGACGACACCAAATTGGGAGGGATAGCCAATAGTCCAGAGGACAGGAGCAGAATTCAAAACGATCTTGACAGATTAGAGAGATGGGCCAAAACTAAAAAATGAAGTTCAACAGTGACAAATGCAAGATACTCCACTTTGGCAGAAAAAACGAAATGCAAAGATACAGAATGGGGGACAATGCCTGGCTCGAGAGAGCAGTACGTGTGAAAAAGATCTTGGAGTCCTCGTGGACAACAAGTTAAACATGAGCCAACAATGTGATGTGGCGGCAAAAAAAGCCAATGGGATTTTGGCCTGCATCAATAAGAGCATAGTGTCTAGATCTAGGGAAGTAATGCTACCCCTCTATTCTGCTTTGGTTAGACCACACCTGGAATATTGTGTCCAATTCTGGGCACCACAATTCAAGAGAGATATTGACAAGCTGGAATGTGTCCAGGAGGGCGACTAAAATGATCAAGGGTCTGGAGAACAAGCCCTATGAGGAGCGGCTTAAGGAGCTGGGCATGTTTAGCCTGAAGAAGAGAAGGCTGAGAGGAGATATGATAGCCATGTATAAATATGTGAGAGGAAGCCACAGGGAGGAGGGAGCAAGCTTGTTTTCTGCTTCCCTGGAGACTAGGACGCAATGGAACAATGGCTTCAAACTACAAGAGAGGAGATTCCATCTGAACATGAGGAAGAACTTCCTGACTGTGAGAGCCGTTCAGCAGTGGAACTCTCTGCCCGGAGTGTGGTGGAGGCTCCTTCCTTGGAAGCTTTTAAGCAGAGGCTGGGTGGCCATCTGTCAGGGGTGATTTGAATGCAATATTCCTGCTTCTTGGCAGAATGGGGTTGGACTGGATGGCCCATGAGGTCTCTTCTAACTCTTTGATTCTATGATTCTATTCTATGATTCTATGTTAATTGTATTGTTTATTTCGTTTATTGCTTGTTATTTTATTATTACTTGTTGTTTTTGATGTGTTGTTGGGCTTGGCCTCATGTAAGCCGCTCCGAGTCCCTTGGGGAGATGGTGGCGGGGTATAAATATAGTATGCTTATTATTATTATTATTAGCTCTAGCTCCTGCCAACCTAGCAGTTCAAAAACATGCAGATGCAAGTAGATCAATAGGTAACGCTTTGGGGGGGGGGGGGGAGTAATAAAGGCACCCATGAAGCCATACCAGTAACATGACCAGGAGATGTATATGGGCAACAGGCTCCTCGGTCTGGAAATGAAACAAGAGCACCTCCCCATGGCCAGAGTTGAGCATTGCCTCCAGAAAGCCAGAGATGAAAGAGGAAGCTTTTACATTTGTATGTCATTTGTTGTTCTACTGTATTTATTATTTATTTATTTAGAGTTTTCGTATACCTGTCTTCTCCACCTCCTAAGAGGGACTCAGGCCGGTTTACAGCATGAAATTCAAATACAATAATAAGATACAAAACATCCTCATAATACAATAAAACAAGTGCATTAAAATACAATCATAAACATTACACAGGCCAGGTCATCAGGTGAAATCACAATTCGCTGCCATCCTTCCGTGTGGTTGGAGTCATTGCCTCAGTCATTGAATGCCATATTCCACAGCCAGGTTTTTACTTGTTTTCTAAACGATAGGAGGGAAGGGGCAGATCTAATCTCTAGTGGGAGGGAGTTCCAGAGCCGAGGGGCCACCACCGAGAAGGCCCTGTCCCTCGTCCCCACCAGACGCGACTGCGAAGGTGGTGGGACCGAGAGCAGCCCCCCCCCCCCCGAAGATCTTAATAACCTTGATGGTTCATAGGGGAGAATCCGTTTGGACAGGTAAATTGGGCTGGAGTCGTTTAGGGCTTTATAGGTCAAAACCAGCACTTTGAATTGTGCTCGGAAGCTAATTGGCAACCAGTGGAGTTGCCAATTAATGGAATGTTGGCCTATCTGTGTATGTTTGTAATCCACTCTGAGTCCCCTCGGGGAGATAGAGCAGAATATAAATAAAGTGTTGTTTTAGGAAAGGATAATAATAATAATAATAATAATAATAATAATAATAATAATAATTTTTATACCCCGCCACCATCTCCTCCAAGGGACTCAGGGCGGCTTACATGAGGCCAAACCTGTCAAATACAATATAACAATACATTCACAACAAGCAAGCAAATAAAACAATGCAAATAATACAATTGAACATATAAGCAATAACACACAAAAGATTTGAAAACATTATGGCAGGGCCAGATGTAGATTAAAATTTTAAAACCCTGGGCGTGTACAGAGTAGGGTATGTCTAGGCATGGGATTTTTAAAAAGTGATATAGGGGGATCAATCCAACCCATAGATAAAGTGCTTCAGAGGACGTATAGAAGGAAATTGGTCAGAGCATATTTCCTTCATTTAGGGAAGGTACAGTGGAACAGCCATGTTTTCAGGCTCCTCCTAAAGACTGCCAAAGTGGGGGCTTGCCTGATACCTTTAGGTAGAGAGTTCCAGAGTCGGGGGGCCACCATAGAGAAGGCTCTCTCCCTCATCCCCACCAATCGCACCTGTGAAGGAGGTGGGAGCGAGAGCAGGATAGAACACGCATAAATTGGGAAATTTGACTTCCCAATTTTAACAAATATAAACTTATTAGTATTTCACTGGGAACTGTGGGCCTGCTTTTGGCTGATGAGATAGGATTGTTGTTGTTGTTGTGTGCTTTCAAGTCATTTCAGATTTAGGTTGACCCTGAGCGAGGGCCGGGTAAATGACCTTGGAGGGCCTTATCCGGCCCTCGGGCTGTAGTTTGAGGACCCCTGATCTAGGAGCTTAAGGTTGGCTGGGGAGGCCCTGCTCTCGATCCCACCTTCTTCGCAGGCGCGTCTGGCGGGGCGAGAGACAGGGCCTTCTCAGTGGTGGCCCCTCGGCTGTGGAACTCCCTCCCTAGGGATATTAAATTGGCCTCCTCCCTCCTGACCTTCCAAAAAAAGTAAAAAGTTTTTGAACAAGCCTTTGGAAATGCAGTGCAATACACAAACACGGAACTATATAAGATTGCAACATGGAACGGTTCAGACGCTACTGGACAATGAGATTAACTGTGAAGGCATTGGTTCTTCTATGTTTTAATGGGTTTAATGTTTTAATTGTATATTGTGGATTGTTATGGCATCGAATTGCTGCCAGTTTGTAAGCTGCCTTGAGTCACCTTCAAGTTTGAGAAAGGCAGGATAGAAATATCATAAATAAATAAAATAAAATAATTAAATGGAAATCAGGAACAATTATAAAGTTTGTGTTTTTTTCTGGAGATGTTTACAACTAATGATTTTGGGGTTTTTTTTTTAAGGTAATTCCTACCTGGAATATCTCTCCTATCAAGAAGGCCAATGAAATGAAGGTTAGTATCTGGTTAGGTGCTGTCATGGCCATGCCAAGAGTGGTGGGGTTTTTCTTTAGCTTGTTAGGTTGTGTGTTTGAGTGAGTCTGATTCAGCGCATAATTCCAGCCTCAAGGTATATAGATAACAGTGAGAGAGGCTTTACTCCTAAGGCTGACTTGGGCGAAAAACTCTGCTTATATTTGAGTATATATAGTAGTAGTTTTGTTAGCTGATGGGGTTTAAGAAAAATGCTTGCTTTGTACATTCAATGTATTTGTTCTGTTGCATATTTATTTGTTTTATTTTTTGTATGTTTGTCTCATTGAATAAAAATTGATATTAGAAAGAAAAGAAAATGTACTTTCATTTGTTGATTCCTTCAATTTTGCCTTTCCTGTTCGGTTTTGTTTCCTGATTTGGGTTGTTCTATGTCCCCGCAGCAGCCCCCGCAGTTTGTGGACATTCCCTTGGAGGAAGACGACTCCTCAGACGAGGAGTACCAGCCAGAGGAGGAGGAGGAAGACGAGACAGCGGAAGAGGTATTTCACATGGCCAGTTAGTGCTATTAGAAAACACTATCTAGTTGCACTATAGATGAATTGGACTACAATTTGCATTGCTCCCCAGCCACCAACTTACTTGATTGGATACATTTGGACTTTCCCCTCTGTTATGTCTGCATTTTAATTTGTGTAAATTAAGCCATAGGAGGGTTGGCAGGGCTTGGGCTACATGTTTACGGCGCTTTCTATAACCTGAAATGTCATTGGAGGGAGGGCCATTGGTTTCTCCTGCATAGTGGGAGCTGTAGCTATATATGGCGGCAGGAGTTTGGCTCTGTAAGTGGAGACCCCAGCCACATGCACACATACATATTTTCACTTTTATTATGTGTGTAGATAGGAAATTATTATTGTACTACTACTGTACTGTACTACCACTGTACATGGCATTCGTTGACCTTGCAAAGGCATTCGACACAGTGAATCACAGCGCTCTCTGGACCATCCTCCAAAAAATCGGGTGCCCAAGCAAATTTGTGAACATCCTGCGGCTCCTCCGTGATGACATGATGGCATCAGTCTTGGACAGCACTGGCTCCCAAAGTGATCCATTTAAGGTGAAATCAGGTGTCGAACAGGGATGTGTGATTGACCCAACCTTATTTTCCATCTTCATCGCTATGATACTTCATCTTGTTGGTGGGAAACTTCCCACCGGAGTGGAAATCATCTCTCGGACGGATGGCAAGCTGTTTAACCTCAGCAGACTGAAAGCCAAAACCAAGATTACAACATCTATTATAGAACTCCAGGATGCTGATGACAACGTTGTCTGTGCACATTCAGAAGACCTACATGCCACACACCTTCGCAGAAGTGTACGAGAAGTTCAGCCTGTCATTGAACATCGAGAAAACCAAAGTGCTCTTCCAGTGGTCACCAGCCAATCCCTCTCCAATGCCAGAGATACAGCTTAATGGTGTAACATTAGAAAATGTTTATTTATTTATTTATTTATTTACATTATTTATATCCCACCCATATCAGCCCGCAAGCGACTCAGGGCGGTCTACATATCGGCACAATTCAATACCATCAATACGTACATTCAAAAAGCAAAAACAATTAAGTGCATTTAGACAAAAAAGAGCTATATTATTATTTTCTCGTTCCAATCCTGTTGAATGTTGACCATTTCCACTACCTTGGCAGCCACCTCTCCACAAAAATCAACATTGGCACCGAAATTCAACACCGCCTGAGCTCTCCGAGTGCAGCATTTTTCCGAATGAAGCAGAGAGTGTTTGAGGACCGGGACATCCGTAGGGAGACCAAGGTGCTTGCTTATAAAGCTACTATCCTCCCAACCCTGCTATATGCCTGTAAAACGTGGACTGTCTACAGACATCACATGCAACTCCTGGAACGATTCCATCAGCGCTGCCTCTGGAAAATCCTGCAAATCTCTTGGGAAGACAAGCGGACAAATATCAGCGTGCTGGAAGAAGCAAAGACCACCGGCATTGAAGCGATGGTCCTCCGCCATCAACTCTGCTTGACCGGCCACATTGTCTGGATGCCCGACCACCATCTCCCAAAGCAGTTGCTCTACTCCGAACTCAAGAACGGAAAGCGGAATGTTGGTGGGCAGGAAAAGAGATTTAAAAACAGGCTGAAAGCCAACCTTAAAAACTCTGGCATAGACACTGAGAACTGGGAAGCCCTGGGCTTTGAGTGCTCCAGCTGGAGGTCAGCTGTGACCAGCAGTGCTGCAGAATTTGAAGAGGCACAAATGGAAAGAGAAATGTGCCAAGAGGAAGGCACGTCAAGCCAACCCAACCAGGACCGCCTTCCACCTGGAAACCGATGCCCTCACTGCGGGAGACGATGCAGATCAAGAATAAGGCTCCACAGTCACCTACGGACCCACCGCCAGGATGCTACACTTGGAGGACCATCATCCTCAGACTACGTGGGATCACCTAAGTAAGTAAGTACTACTACTACTAAGAAAATTTTACATGGGGTATTAACCGTTTCCCATGTCATTCTGAACAAAAATTTATATTTTGACTGGGGTTATACTTTAAAAATGACCTTGTTCTGACTTATGTACAAATTCAACTTAAGAACAAACTTACCGAACATATCTGGTTCTTAACTTGAGGATTGCCTGTATTAAAAACAAAAATACAACCAACCACAAGCAGCAAGCATTTTGAATAAGGGAGACTCAATGTAAACAGCAGCCCTAGTTTGCCTGACAGGAAGTTTCTTTTTGCTTTTTGTTCTTCTCTAGAGCCTGCTGGAGAGCGATGTGGAGAGCACCTCCTCCTCACCCCGTGGCATCAAGAGGTCGCGAACAAGGCAGTCTTCGGACATGGTAGAGACGGATGAGGAAGGCACTGCACCTTTGGAGGTGAAATGCGGGTATTTGAAACAGGACAGCTTCTAGGGAGCCAAGAGGGATGGCCAAGAGGGATTGCGGGAACCATGATAAGTTGTCTGAGTTTTGGACTGGAACAGCATTAAAAAAAACAGTAGAAATTAAATTGGTTAGGCTGAAGCTTCTTTTTTTCCCAGGTCGAGAAAGAGGGCACTCCTCCCCTTCAGCGGCACATTAGCGCGGAGGTTGTGCCGATGGGGCCCCCTCCGCCCCCCAAACCCCGGCAGAGCAAGGACAGCACCTTTATGGAGAAACTGCATGCGGTGGACGAGGAGCTGGCATCCAGTCCGATGTGTATGGATTCCTACCAGGTAATGTTGCCCTTGCCCCTGCTGAATGGCATCGTCCATTTAAAAATTTCTGGGTGCAAGAACAAGACATAATGTATATATTACAACAACAACAACAAAACTTTATTTATATACCACTCTATCTCCCCAAAGGGACTCAGAGCAGTTTCCAAGTAACATAATCAATACGTACAAAGAAAACAGCATAAACATAAAATTGACATGACAATATAAGCATTAAAAACCACAATAGCACATATATATTTAAAATAATCCTGCCTGTTGAAGGCAGTTTAATGGCCGGGCTAGTGCGATTTTAGAGGGCCTGGGAAATTAGGAAGAGTCTATGGCTGTTCATTTCCAGGGCCTAATAGAAGAAAGTGACCTGGGTAATTGGTAGAAAAAGATATGGCCAATTTCAACAGTATCTAGGGCAGAGCTAGAACTAGTCGTTCTCAAAGGTTTGTTTAAACTACCAGGTCTTCAGGCTCTTATGTAAGGAGGGGAGGGATAGGGCCTGTCTTATTTCTCCAGGAAGGGCGTTCCAGAGGCAGGGGGCCACCACCGAGAAGGCCCTCTCTCTCGTCCCCACCAACCATGCTTGTGATGGTGGTGGGAGCGAAAGGAGAGCCTCCCCGGAAGATCTTAAAGTTCGCGCTGGTTCATAGAAGGAGATGCGATCGCGAAGATAGGCAGGGCCCGAACCGTTACTAGAGTATTAGCAGAGTTTTTCAGCCCTTTTTTTTAGGCTGCAAAAAGCCTCCCTTAGCTTATACTTGAGTCAAAGTTATTTATTATTTTAGTGGGTTATTATTATTTTTATTACATTTATTATTTTACTCTGTTTATTGTTATTGCATTTATTATTTTACTGTATTATTGTTATTATTACATTTATTATTTTACTGTATTATTATTATTGTATTTATTATTTTACTCTATTATTATTACATATATTATTTTAATGTTTATTATTGTTATTATTACATATATTATTTTACTCTATTTGTTATTTTTATTATTACATTTATTATTTTACTCTAATACTGTTACTATAATGAACAGCCACAGACCCGTACCTAATATTATTGTTACCTGCCATAGCATTGCACTTAATTCCCCCTAGAATTTTTGGGCTTGCACAAATCTTGACCCGGCCTTTTAAATTTTTAAATTGCCTTGAACAGGCAGGATTACTTTTAATATTTGTGTGTTATGGTGACCATTTATATACTTATATTTTGTTTTGTTAATCTTATGGTTATGTTGTTTTTTACTTTGTATGTTTTGTGATGTTACCTGGGAACTGCTCTGAGTCCCCTCGGGGAAATGGGGCAGTATATAAATAAAGTTGTTGTTGTTATTTTTATTATTATTATTATTATTATTATTATTATTATTATTACATTTATTATTTTACTCTCTTTATTATTATTAGAAGGATACGTAAGCACATTAACATTGAAGAAGGTTAGAATAATGTTTTAATCAAGAGTTGGACAATGTTATCATAAATTACAGTTTTATGTAAATATTTAAAAAACATTTAACCTACTGATGCCTCAATTAATGTAATTTTATTGGTATCTATTTTTATTTTATTTTGAAAGTTTTCCCAATGATTTACCTGTATAAAAGCTCACGTATCTTTTAAACAGAGGGTGGATGGCCATCTGTCAGTGGTGCTTTGATTGTGCTTCTCTTGCCTAGCAGAATGGACTTGGACTGGATGGTCCCAGAGAGTCTCTTCCCACTTACTGACTGTATAATTCTAGTATTGTACATTCAGCTACGACTCTCAGTATCCCCCTGCCATTATTCTGGCTGTGAGTGATGGTAGTTACAACTCAACTCATCCCAGTAAGCTCTAAAGAGTTAAGAAGGTGCTCTCCTTTTGCTTCTCAGCCCTTGGAAGACAGCTTGATTGCCTTCCGCACACGATCAAAGCGGCCCTTGAAGGACGTCCCCCTCGGTCAGTTGGAGGCCGAGCTCCATGCTCCGGACATCACCCCAGATATGTACGACCCCAACACAGCCGACGATGAAGAGTGGAAACATTGGCTTGGGAGCCTTATGACTGATGATGTGGAGAATGAAGGTATATCAAAGCCCAACATGTCTTCTGAAGGAAGTCTTTGATGAAGGGCATCACCGTTCCAATGCCTCCGAAGCACAGATTGTTTGCCTCATTGGTGAAATATTTTACCTTCCAGATGAGGCTGATGATGATGATGATCCTGAGTACAACTTCTTGGAGGATATGGATGAGCCAGACACAGAGGACTTCAGGAACGACCGAGCTGTTAGGATCACAAGTACGTTCTCTTAAGTTCTTTTGCTTCTTTGTGGCTGTCTCTTTTGACAAGCATCTCATCTTTTCTCCTTGGGCAACTGTAAGTCTGGGCTTCTCAAAACTGATACACATGGGTTTTCAGATCCCAGATTGCCCCAACCAGCATGGGATTCTAGGAGATAGAATCAAGTTAGTAGCTACAGAAGGCCCCAATCCTCCTAAATGTTTTAAAATAAACTCTAGGCATCTCTTTTCCATTCTGCTTTACATCAGGAACAGAAATAGTCTGTACAAGAAGTCCTCTTCTTCTTTTTTATTCTTCTTCAAACAATAGAGTTTGTTCTGGTGGTTATTAGAAACCGCAGTCATGTATTTTTTGTTTATTTTGCAGAGAAGGAAGTGAATGAATTGATGGAGGAGCTGTTTGAGACGGTAACGCTTTATTTATTTTATTTATTTTATTTTTTATTGTTTTATAGTGCATGTAGACAACAAAACAAATGAAAAAAGAAAAAAATGAAAAAAGAAAAAATATGCAAAAGATTTACAAAAGAGTGAATATTCAGTGCTCATTAAACATATAAACAATCAGATTTGGTTATACAGTTATTTATACCTTAACATTTCATAGGCTTTATTTATTTACTTATTTATTTCGTGCACTTTGACCCCGCCCTTCTCCCCCCGAAGGGGGACTCAGGGCGGCCTCACGTAAGCACCATACGATGCTGTCAATTCAAAGTAGAATTAAAGCATTGGAAACCATTAAAACATTAAAAATCATTAAGACGCATTATACAATTCATTAGATAGTAGATTATACATGTTGGTAAAACCAAATCCAAGTCTAGACAGATTAAATGTTGTAAATATCCTAAAATTTTTTCCAATTGCCGCTATTCGATTAATCAAACGCTTGGTCCCAGAGCCAAGTCTTCACTTGTCTCCTAACGGACAGGAGGGAGGTGGCCAACCTGATGTCCCTGGGGAGAGAGTTCCACAGACGGGGGCGGTGGGGAGGACTTTGATTACATTTTCTTGCCCTGATGGAGGGAGTTGGATTGATGGCCTTAAGTATTTTTTGTTGGTCATGGGGGTTCTGTGTGGGAAGTTTGCCCGATTCTGTCACTCGTAGGGTTCAGAACGCTCTTTGATTATAGATGAACTGTGAATCCCAGTGACTACAACTCCCAAATGTCAAGGTCTATTTTCCCCAAACTCCATCTGTGTTCATATTTGGCCGTATTGAGTGTTTGTGCCAAGTTTGGTCCAGATCCATCATTGTTTGAGTCCACAGTGCTCTCTGGATGTAGGTGAACTACAACTCCCAAACTCTAGGTCAATGCCCACCAAACCCTTCCAGTATTTTCTGTTGGTCATGGGAGTTCCGTACACCAAGTTTGGTTCAATTCCATTGTTGATGGAGTTCAGAATGCTCTTTGATTGTAGGTGAACTATAAATCCCAGCAATTACAACTCCCAAATAACAAAATCATAATTTTTTTGAGTGATGGTCACTCCTTGTGTTGTGAGACTTTTGTTGCCAAATTTGGTGTGATTTCGTTCATTGGTTATCTTGTTTTTAAGGTACTCATTATGCACAGAGCATTTATATATATAGGCCTGTTTGATCAAGAAAAAATTTGTTTCTAAAATCGATTTGTAATTGTGGTGTTTTTTTGTTTCGATATTTAAAATAATTACAAAACTTTCCAAAAAAAAGTTTTGGTATTTAAGAAATTTTGTAAATATTAACGAATTTTTAGAATATTTTTTTGTATTTCTTAAGAATAATATTAAAATAATATTAAAAAATATTTTAAAATGGAAAATTAACCAAAAAATGGCCCAAATGTGGACCAAACACAGGCAGGATACAGCAAATGAGAGCACACACCAACAGAAGAGTCTTTTCTTTTTTAGAATATTTTTTAAGAATAATATTAAAATAATATTAAAAAATAATATTAAAATAATATTAAAAAATATTTTAAAATGGAAAATTAACCAAAAAATGGCACAAATGTGGACCAAACACAGGCAGGATACAGCAAATGAGAGCACACACCAACAGAAGAGTCTTTTCTTTTTTAGAATATTTTTTAAGAATAATATTAAAATAATATTAAAAAATAATATTAAAATAATATTAAAAAATAATATTAAAAATATTTTAAAATGGAAAATTAACCAAAAAATGGCCCAAATGTGGACCAAACACAGGCAAGAGACAGCAAATGAAGCAAGCAGCACTCACAGCAGCAAGGAATGAATCCAATCCCAGTTGCTAGCAGCCATTGCCAAGCCAACCCAATGCAAACTCCCTCGCCCTCTGCAGCAAGCTACGGGCCGCGCGGAGCCGCTTTGAAAGGGCTCGCCGGCCAATCAAAAACAGACAGCCACGGACCCATGGTGCACTGCTTGGGAGCGCCGGATTGGCTCCCAGGCACCAGCACTCCAGCAGCCTCCACCCCATTAACGAAACGAGCGGAGGCTCGTTAAAACTATGGGGGTTGCTGGTTCGATATTTAAAAACCCTTCCGGGTTTGGAAATATGTTTCAATATCGCTTCGGAAATGCCAAAAATAACGAATTAATAACGAATTAACGAACGAAACCGCACAGGCCTAATAAATAAATCAAACACAGGTCCTTTATCCGTTTATTCAGTTTCAGGATGAGATGGGCTTGTCCAATGTGGAGGACGAGGGGCCGGAGGATGAGGATAGTGCTGCTGAGGCCCGGCCAAATTTTAACACTCCACAGGTGCTCAGGTAAGATTGAATGAAGGCAGGATTTTGCTCAAAAGGGATAGCAGATGCATGGAAGGCTGGTGGATCCATGGGTGAGGGGGAAAAAAAGAAATTCCATCTTATTGATGATTCCTAATATTTGCCAAGCCTCTTTGGTCGAGCCTCCTTGAATATGGGGCAGGATGGCTCAAAGGAAAGCCGTCTCTGTTTGGGAAGGGAGGCAGAGGAACTGCTGGGCCGCAGCCTTTCTTTCTGGGTTGAGCAGTCCTGGAAGGGAACGGCGAAAGCATCTTTGCCGAGCTACAATCTGAACCCTCTGTGGCATTCGCGGATATGTGAGAAAGAGTCTTTCTGTCTAAAGCCTCTGGGATTATTTTGAGAAAGGTTCTGCTTCAATTTTTTGAAGTATTTTTTCAAGCAGAAGGTTCTAGGTTCAGTCATTCATATTTCTGTGGTGACCTGTGCCTTTTCACAGGCAAAGCATCTATCCTGTTCCTAAAGCTGTCATGGTGGAACATGTATTGTTTTTTTTTTTAATATTTAAGGGTTTTATTATTAAAGTCTTGTAAAACAATTTCAGAAACTGTACATCAACATGGCCTACTCTTGTTTTTACCTGCACAAAAGTATAAAAGGTAAAGGTAAAGGTAGTCCCCTGACATTAAGTCCAGTCATGTCTGTCTCTGGGGTGTGGTGCTCATCTCCATTTCTAAGCCGAAGAGCCAGCGTTGTCCGTAGACACCTCCAAGGTCATGTGGCCGGCATGACTGCATGGAGCGCCGTTACCTTCCCGACGGAGCAGTACCTATTGATCTACTCACAAAAGTATATGCTTCAAAAACTTTCAAAACTAAAAGAACTGGTTGCCCAACTACTTTGCATAATAACATGAAATCGCTGTGTGCAAAAGGTTACTACTTCAGTGACTGTAACATAAATTTATTAGTTTACACAACTTGAGATCAATTACATTGTCAAGTAGACTTACTTTAAAATTGTTGTGAAGTTCATTTTTTTTAAATGCACTACCTTTTTTGCAGAGTTTTAAGAAATTAAAAAAAAAATGAAAACCATAGACTCAAAGAGTTGGAAGAGACCTCCTGGGCCATCCAGTCCAACCCCCTGCCAAGAAGCAGGAATATTGCATTCAAAGCACCCCTGACAGATGGCCATCCAGCCTCTGTTTAAAAGCTTCCAAAGAAGGAGCCTCCACCACACTCCGGGGCAGAGAGTTCCACTGCTGAACGGCTCTCACAGTCAGGAAGTTCTTCCTAATGTTCAGATGGAATCTCCTTTCTTGTAGTTTGAAGCCATTGTTCCATTGCGTCCTAGTCTGCAAGGAAGCAGAAAACAAGCTTGCTCCCTCCTCCCTGTGGCTTCCTCTCACATATTTATACATGGCTATCATCTCTCAGCCTTCTCTTCTGAAGGCTAAACATGCCCAGCTCCTAAAGCCGCTCCTCATAGGGCTTGTTCTCCAGACCCTTGATCATTTTAGTCGCCCTCTTCTGGACACATTCCAGCTTGTCAATATCTCTCATCCATTGTGGTGCCCAGAATTGGACACAATATTCCAGGTGTGGTCCAATCAAAGCAGAATAGAGGGGTAGCATGACTTCCCTGGAACTAAAAACACTGCACCTCTATTGATGCAGGCCAAAATCCCATTGGCTTTTTTTGCCGCCACATCACATTGTTGGCTCATGTTTAACTTGTTGTCCACGAGGACTCCAAGATCTTTTTCACACGTACAGGCATTGTCCCCCATTCTGTATCTTTGCATTTCGTTTCTTCTGCCTAAGTGGAGTATCTTGCATTTGTCCCTGTTGAACTTCATTTTGTTAGTTTTGGCCCATCTCTCTAATCTGTCAAGATCGTTTTGAATCTTGCTCCTATCCTCTGTGAGTATTGGCTATCCCTCCCAGTTTGGTGTCATCTGCAAACTTGATGACCATGCCTTCTAGCCCTTCATCTAAGTCATTAAGGAAACCAAACCCAAAGTTGGATAATTTTAGCAGTAGAAAAGCTCCCTCAATTTCCCATGACGGGGACACTGTGACAGCATTTAGATTCTAGAACAGAGGTCCTCATTATTTGAGTTAAGAGAACGGGGCTGAAAGGCCCTCCAGGCCACAGTATGGGCCTTAGTCCTTGTTCCTGCATTCAGATTTGAAGAGCCCCTGGCCAACTTGCTGAATGAACAGCACCGGACGGTGAAGGAGCAGTTGGAGCAGCTGCGCATGAAGAAGTCTGCAGCCAAGATGCCTCAGGAGTTGGAGAAGTCCAAGCTGCGCAGTGAAAAGCCGCTGCAGGCTCTGACCCTGGACGCCGGGCAGAGGAAGAGGCTCCAGCAACAGATGCAGCAGGTACATCTTGGAAATGTCCTCTTTTTTGTGTTTTAACTTCTTTCGGTTTTTCAATCTTTCTTGATTTTAATGGACAGACTGTTTAACTCAGCCATGAGCAAACTTCGTCAAGAATACTTTTTAAACAAAGGTTCCTTTATTGCAATTTGAGTGTGAGAGGGTATATCAGAACATTTATAGAACAACATTTAGACATACAAATTCTATGTAACTATATTGGATTCGCAAACAACCGACAGTTACATTGGCGAACAAACAAACAAAAGGGAATTACATTTTTATTCAATTCTAGCCATCCCCTGCCACGCGTTGCTGTGGGCCCAGTCTGGTGATCTGGAAAATAAAGTAATGAGAAAGTATTGGTTTCTAATAGATGTGATTTCTTTATGCTTGTGGGGAAACAGTATTTGATTACGTTTTCTTGCCCTAGTGAAGGGAGTTGGACTGGATGGCCTTAAGTATTTTCTATTGGTCCAATTCTATTGTTTGTGGGGTTCTGAATGCTCTTTGATTGTAGGTGAACTATAAATCCCAGTAACTACAACTTCTAAACGCCAAGGTCTACTTCCCCCAAGCTCCATCTGTGTTCCTAGTTGGACATATGGAATATTCCTGCCAAGTTTGGTCCAGATCCATCATTGTTTGAGTCCACAGTGCTCTCTGGATGTAGGAGTACTACAACTCCCAAACTCAAGGTCAATGTCCACCAAACCCTTCTAGTATTTTCTGTTGGTCACGGGAGTCCTGTGTGCCACGTTTGGTTCAATTCCATCCTTGGTGGAGTTCAGAATGCTCTTTGATTGTAGGTGAACTATAAATCCCAACAACTACAAGTCCCAAATGACAAACTCAATTTTTTTGAGTGGTGGTCATTCCTTGGGTTAATAGGTGTTTTGTGGCCAAATTTGGCAGCAATTCGTCCAGTGGTTTTTGACTTATGTTAATCCCACAAACTAGCATTACATTTTTATTTATATAGATTCACATTACCACATACACCTTCAGTCATCTTCATGCATCCAAATATTGCCATATCCTTTTCTCCCTCCTTGGAGAAGCATCTGCTTAAGCCAGACCCTGCTTTTCTCTGTAGCCTGTCAATGCATAGTTTCAAAACTTCCAAAACTTAAAAGAATGCCAAATCTTCCCTAAGAACATGACTCCAAAACGTACTCCTTTCTTTTCCCTTGAAGAGAGGCAAGTGTCCAGACTGCATTCCATTGCAGATCTGACACGCCCAAAATACACCATCTCCATAGAGCATGGTGGGTAAACAGCATCACTGTCAGTCACATTTTTTGGATTGTAATAAGGTCTCTTATATAGCAAAGAAGAGAAGGTGGCGAGACTATACAGAAGATCTGTATAGGAAGGATAATAATATTGAGGATAGTTGACGGTGTGGTGAATGAATTAGAACCAGACATCCTGAGGAGTGAAGTTGAATGGGCCTTAAGAAGCATTGCTAACAACAAGGCAGCAGGAGACGACGGGATCCCAGCTGAACTGTTTAAAATCTTAAAGATGATGCTGTCAAGGTGATGCATGCCATTTGCCAGCAAATATGGAAAACACAAGAATGGCCATCAGACTGGAAACAATAAACTTATATCCCCATACCAAAAAAGGGAAATGCGAAAGACTGCTCAAACTTCCGTACAGTGGCCCTTATTTCTCATGCCAGTAAGGTAATGCTCAAGATCCTGCAAGGAAGACTCCAGCAATACATGGAGCGAGAGTTGCCAGATGTTCAAGCTGGGTTTAGAAAAGGCAGAGGAACGAGAGACCAGATTGCCAATCTCCGCTGGAGAATGGAGAAAGGCAGGGAGTTTCAGAAAAACATCTACTTCTGCTTCATTGACTATTCTAAAGCCTTTGACTGTGTGGATCATAATAAATTGTGGCAAGTTCTTGGTGGGATGGGCATACCAAGCCACCTTGTCTCTCTCCTGAGGAATCTGTACAAGGACCAAGTAGCAACAGTCAAAACTGACCACGGAACAACAGACTGGTTCAAGATTGGGAAAGGCGTACGGCAAGGCTGCATACTCTCACCCAACCTTTTTAACTTGTATGCAGAACACATCACGCGATGTGCGGGGCTGGATGAATGCAAAGCTGGGGTGAAAATTGCTGGAAGAAACATTAACAACCTCAGATATGCAGATGACACCACTCTGATGGCAAAGCGAGGAGGAGCTGAGGAGCCTTCTAATCAAGGTGAAAGAAGAAAGCGCAAAAGCCGGGTTGCAGCTAAACGTCAAAAAAACCAAGATTATGGCAACAAGAATGATTGACAACTGGAAAATAGAGGGAGAAACGGTGGAGGCCGTGACAGACTTTGTATTTCTAGGTGCAAAGATTACTGCAGATGCAGACTGTGGCCAGGAAATCAGGAGACGCTTCCTTCTTGGGAGGAGAGCAATGTCCAGTCTCGATAAAATAGTAAAGAGTAGAGACATCAGACTGGCAACAAAGATCCGCCTAGTCAAAGCCATGGTATTCCCTGTAGTCACCTACGGATGTGAGAGCTGGACCATAAGGAAGGCTGAGCGAAGGAAGAGATGCTTTTGAACTGTGGTGTTGGAGGAAAGTTCTGAGAGTGCCTTGGACTGCGAGAAGATTCAACCAGTCCATCCTCCAGGAAATAAAGCCCGACTGCTCACTGGAGGGAAGGATACTAGAGACAAAGTTGAAGTACTTTGGCCACATCATGAGGAGACAGCAAAGCCTAGAGAAAACAATGATGCTGGGGAAAGTGGAAGGCAAAAGGAAGAGGGGGCGACCAAGGGCAAGATGGATGGATGGCATCCTTGAAGTGACTGGACTGACCTTGAAGGAGCTGGGGGTGGTAACGGCCGACAGGGAGCTCTGGCGTGGGCTGGTCCATGAGGTCACGAAGAGTCGGAGACGACTGAACAAATGAACAACAACAACATATAGCAAAATTTTGCAGATGTTGTCCCAAAATTGTAAATGTATGATAAATGTTTTCCATCCTTTTTTGGTTGTATCAGGGGCGACTTGAGAAACTGCAAGTCGCTTCTGGTGTGAGAGAATTGGCCGTCTGCAAGGACGTTGCCCAGGGGACACCCTGGATGTTTTATCATTCTTGTGGGAGGCTTCTCTAATGTCCCCGCATGAAGAGCAAGAGCTTTCTCTTGTGGGACTCTAGGGACCCAAGGTGGTTATCAATAATTTAAAAATAAAAGTGTAGCTAAAATATTATATTACGAAAGTTAGCCACAAAGGTCCATGGGCAGCAGAGGCTGCACTTCCTCCACTATTATTTCTGTGCAGTCCTTAGTCTTTAAATAACATTTCTCGTTTGATGGACAGCAGCTTAAATTATTTCTCCTTTTGACCTTACAGCATGTGCAGCTCCTGATGCAGATCTATCTCCTGAGCAGCAGCAACCCTAACCTGGGCTCAGAGGCCAACACCACCCGCCTCTTCCTGGTAAGGCTTGAATTACACCGATATAGGATGGCGTAATAATAGCTCATGTGAAAGAGAGCTTGAAGTATGGTGCCAAAGGCTTTCATGGCTAGAATCACTGGGTTGCTGTGAGGTTTCAGGGCTGCCTGGCCATGTTTCAGAAGCATTCTCTCCTGATGTTTCACCCACACCCATGGCAGGCATTTATTTATTTATTTATTTATTTACGACATTTATATGCTGCCCTCACCCCGAAGGAGACTCAGAGTGGCTTACAAGCTATATATACATACAATATATTATATTATTAGCCTAATACAATATCAGTATTAAATATTACTATATTGTACTATACCATTATATTGTAATATTATTAGTAATATTACATGTAATATAAATATATATTTATAATATATTATTATTATTATTATATTGCATTACATTTTAATATAATAAATATATGTGTATACAATATATTATATTACATTACATTGCATTACATTATATTACTAGCTGCCCCCCTGCCATGCGTTGCTTTGGCCAAGCCTGGTGATCTGGAAAATAAAGTAATGAGAAAGTGTTGGTTTGTAATCTATGTAATGCCTTTCTGTGTGCGGGTAAACAGTATTTCTTGCTGTTTCTTTGTCATTGTTGATGTGGAGATTGTCTGGTTTGCCTACTCTGGAACACACAACACATAATTGTCCTTCTTTTGGGGTCCCTTTCAAATCTATGATACTATATCTCTCTCTGTGTGAATCATATCTATCTATCTATATCTATGGCTGGATGTAGGAGCGCTTTGATCACGTTTCCTTGCCGCGGTGAAGGGAGTTGGACTAGATGGCCTTAAGTATTTTCTGATGGTCATGGGGTTCTGTGTGGGAAGTTTGCCCCAATTCTGTCATTGGTGGGGTTCAGAATGTTTTGATTGTAGGTGAACTATAAATCCCAGTAACTACAACTCGCAAATGTCAAGGTCTATTTCCCTCAAACTCCATCTGTGTTCATATTTGGGCATATTGAGTATTTGTGCCAAGTTTGGTCCAAATCCATCATTGTTTGAGTCCACAGTGCTCTCTAGATGTAGGTGAACTACAACTCCCAAACTCAGGGCCAATGCCCACCAAACCCTTCCAGTATTTTCTGTTGGTCGAGGGAGTTCTGTGTGCCAAGTTTGGTTCAATTCCATTGTTGATGGAGTTCAGAATGCTTTTTGATTGTAGGTGAACTATAAATCCCAGCAACTACACCTCCCAAATGACAAAATCATAATTTTTTGAGTGATGGTCATTCCTTGTGTTGTGAGACGTTTTGTTGCCAAATTTGGTGTGATTTCATTCATTGGTTCTTTTGTTTTTAAGGTACTCATTATGTACAGAGCATTCATATATATATATACACTAACGGTCCCCTGCCATTCGTTGCTGTGGCCCACATGGGGGTTCTGTGTGGGAGGTTTGCCTCAATTCTATCATTAGTGGGGTTCGGAATGCTCTGTGATTGTAGGTGAACTATAAATCCCAGCAACCACAACTCCCAAATGTCAAGATTCTATTTTCCCCAAACTCCACCAGTGTTCATATTTGGGTGTATTGAGTGCTTGTGCCAAGTTTGGTCCAGATCCATCATTGTTTGAGACCACAGTGCTCTCTAGATGTAGGTGAACAACAACTCCCAAACTCAAGGCCAATGCCCACGAAACCCTTCCAGTATTTTCTGTTGGTCAAGGGAGTTCTGTGTGCCAAGTTTGGTTCAATTCCATTGTTGATGGAGTTCAGAATGCTCTTTGATTGTAGGTGAACTATAAATCCCAGCAACTACACCTCCCAAATGACAAAATCATAATTTTTGAGTGATGGTCATTCCTTGTGTTGTGAGACATTTTGTTGCCAAATTTGGTGTGATTTCATTCATTGGTTCTTTTGTTTTTAAGGTACTCATTATGCACAGAGCATTTATATATATATAGATTAGAATAGCACAGGAGACAAGGTGGAACTGTCCCCTGGCCATCTTTAGAGACCAGGACATCAAATAATGGGTTCACATTGCAGGGAAAGAGATTTTCCACATTAGGAAAAACTTCCTGACTGTAAGAGCTGTTCAACAGTGGGACTCATTGCTTCAGAGTCTGGTGAAGTCTCGTTCTCTGGAGTTTTTTAAAAACAGGCTGGACGGCCATCTGTTAGGAGTGCTTTGATTGTGTTTTCCTGCATGGCAGAAGACTGGACTGGATGGCCCTTGGGGTCTCATTTATTCAAGGTTGGTGTAGTAGACCCAACCCAGCAACCCAGATCTAGAAGTGTTAGCTGGTCATGAGCTAAACAAGAGTCACCATCTCTCTCTTTCAATCTGTAGACGGAACTGGACAGCTTTGCTCAGAGCGCCACACTCCTCGCTCAGCCTCTAGGCCACAAATTCCAAACTGCCTTCCAGCCATGCAACCTGAAGGAAGCCCTGCATCTCATCACAGATTTCCATTCGAACATCAACATTGACTGGAGCCCTCGCAAAGCCATTAAAAAGAATGGTAGGTTGCATTCATCTACCTTTGTTTCTGTGTATTTATTTCTTCTTCCTGCTTTGAGAGCCATCACTTCCCATGGCTCCAGTTTAAGGCCATGTGTTTTGCTAAGACCTGTGTACTTTTCTAAAATTTAAGATTTTTTTTTCTTAATTGTTGCAGAGATTGGGATTCTCTTCATCTCTCTCTGTCTGCAAAAACAAAAACCTTGCAGTGTATTGATGAAGGCTTTCATGGCCGGAATCACTTGGTCGTTGTGAGTTTTTCGGGCTGCATGGCTATGTTCCAGAATAATAATAATATTATTATAATGCTAATACTTTATTTATACCCTGCCACCATCCTGGAGGGACTCGGGACGGCTTACATGAGGCCAAGCCTGTCAAATACAAAAACAACAATACGTCAACAAGCAAGCAAGCAAGCAAGCAAATAAAATAATATAAATAATACAGTTAAACATATACACGTAAAAGATTTAAAAACATTATGGCCGGGCCAGATGTAGATTAAAATTTTAAAACCCTGGGTGTGTACAGAGTAGGGTATGTCTAGGCATGGGGGTTTTAAAGAGTGATATGGGGGGATCAATCCAACCGATAGATAAAGTACTTCAGAGGACGTATAGAAGGAAATTGGTCAGATCGAGCATTATTTCCTTCATTCAGGGAAGGCATACTGGAATGGCCACATTTTCAAGCTCCTCCTAAAGACTGCCAATGTGGGGGGTTTGTCTGATACCTTTAGGTAGAGAGTTCCAGAGTCAGGGGGCCACCATAGAGAAGGCCCTCACCCTTGTCCCCACCAATTGTGCCTGCGAAGGAGGCGGGAGCGAGAGCAGGGCCCCTCCAGATGAACAAAGAGATTGCGTGGGTTCATAAACAGAAATGCGGTCGCGCAGGTAGACGAGTCCCAAACCGTTCAGGGCTTTGTAGGTAAGAAACTGCACCTTCAATTGGGACCGGAAGATGAACAGCAGCCAGTGGAGCTCCTTAAACAGGGGGGTTGACCGCTCCCTGTAAGTCGCTCCAGTTAGTAGTGTGGCTGCCGCCCGTTGAACCAATTGAAATTTTTCAGCCGTCTTCAAGGGCAGCCCCACGTAGAGTTCATTGCAGTAATCCAATCTGGAGGTGACAAAGGTGTGGACCACCCTGGCCAGATCCGACTTCACGAGGTACGGTCGCAGCTGGCGTACGGGTTTTAATTGTGCAAAGACCCTCCCTGGGCTTCAAGAGTTAGCGATGAGTCAAGGAGGGCACCCAAGCTGCGGGCCTGTGACTTCAGGGGGAGTGCAACCCTGTCAAGTACCTCGATCTGGCTTACAATCGACCAAGAGGACTTCTGTCTTGTCCTCAGCTTATTCATCCTCATCCAGACAGTCACAGCGGCCAGGCACTCGTCCAGCACCCAGGCACTCATCCAGAGGGGCTTCCTTGGAGTTAGGTGGAAAAGAGTAGTAGAGTTGGGCATCATTCTCTCCTGATGTTTCACCTGCATCTATGGCAGGCATCCTCAGAGGATGCCTGCCATAGATGCAGATGAAACATCAGAAGAGAATGCTTCTGAAACATGGCCATACAGACTGAAAAACTCACAACAACCTAAAAGTCTTGCAGTTTAAATAGAATCTTAGAGTTGTAAGAGATCCAAGGACCCTCCAGTCCAAGCCCACGTAGAAAGACACTATCCAAACCCTCCTGACAGATGGTCATTCAATCGCCGAATCATAGAATCCTAGAGCTTGAAGAGACCCTAATGACCATCCAGCCCAACCCCCTGCCATGCGGAAAAATGCAATCAAAGCCCTCCCAAAAGACGGACACCTGATTTCCTTTCACTAATACAGTTCCCAGAGCCAAACTGGGTTTGACTATATCAGTCAATCAGGTTCTGTTGAGAATCAGCCTGTGATTGTGTTTCAGGATCCTGATGTGGGAAATGATGAGGGAAATGATGGGGCCTGGGCTGAGGTACAAGATGGAGATGGTTTCGTCAATGATTTTCAGGCAGACAATGACAGAGAGGCCCCAGTGCAAAGGGCAGTTTCTCATGAGAATATTCCTGCTGGGCCTAGTTCACATGATAGTTCACTTCCTCTCTCTGTGAGCTCTCAAGATTTGGGTTTGGAAAATAATCTGACAATTTTGGGGATTTTGATGAGCGGCCAGATAGGGAGCTGAAGAATAGGGGGCTGGAGATTAGCCAGGATCGATAGCAAACTCAGTGTTTACGTCTGATAAGGGGGAAATGTGGGGGGAAGCGAAACCAATTTCTGAGTTTTGGGATATAAGGTTTGCCTCGAGGGGAAACCTGTTAGATCAGGCATCGTTTGGAAACCAAGTTCATGTGCCATGGAAATCCTGTTCAAGGGGTCTTGTTCCTGTGGAGCTTTTTAACCTTTTAGATTGTTTTTACTTATAAGCATTTATTTCTCCTGGCTATTTATTTCGCATCCTGTTGATTCCTGTCTGGATTAATGCTGTCTTGGATTGCTTTTATTTCTTGTGTGGACATTGCTTTGTGCAACTGCCTTTTATGGACTTATTACTTTTTGGAACCTTCTTATTTACTTACAAGCATTTATTTCTTCTGGCTATTTACTAAGCTTCAATAAAAGAAGATTTGTTTTTTCACTCTTCATGTGCTGTGTTTAAAAGTCAGAGGGCTTATTCTTGACCTGGAGTGCAACAAGTTCAGTCTTCACTGCTGCCTTTTCTCCCTTCGCTTCTTTCCTGCAGTGAATGACTTTGCTCCCCTGCCAAAGCAAATTGCATGGATCTTGGCCACCAGGAGGGTCTTCATGTACCCAGAGTTGCTGCCCACCTGCTCCTTAAAGGCCAAAACACCACGGGACAAGATCGTCTTCACAAAAGGCGAAGACAAGTAAGTGCTGGGGACGAACGGGGGAAAGCAGGGCCTCGGCAGGATCAGAATACTCTCTGAGTGACTTGTCAGCAAGGATGCCTTAGGCTAGTTCAGACTGAGATTCCTGTACCTCTTTCCCTTGCGTGTAATGCATTCTTGGTTTCAGTCACACCATTGTGTACCATTTCCTTTCAAGTGGCAAAGTCTGGTTTGCAAGGCAACTGAAAATCAGGATGAAACCACAGTTTGCAAGGGTCATCCAGTCCAACCCCATTTTACCATGCAGGGACACATTTATTTACTTACTTAGGCGATCCCTCATTGTCCGAGTAGGATAATCCTCCAGGGTGGGTCCGTAGGTGACTGTGGAGCCCTATTCTGCATCGGCTCCCGCAGTGAGGGCATTGGTTTCCAGATGGAAGGTGGTCCCGCTCGGGGTTGGCTTCCTCTTAGCATGTTTCTCTCTTTCGTCCTCCATTCATGCCTCTTCAAATTCTGCAGCACTACTGGTCACAGCTGACCTCCAGCTGGAGCACTCAAAGGCCAGGGCTTCCCAGTTCTCAGTGTCCATGCCAGAGTTTTTAAGGTTGTCTTTGAGCCCATCTTTCAATCTCTTTTCCTGCCCACCAACATTCCGTTTTCCGTTCTTGAGTTCGGAGTAGAGCAACTGCTTTGGGAGACGGTGGTTGGGCTTTCGGACAACATGGCTGGTCCAGCAGAGTTGATGGCGGAGGACCATCGCTTCAGTGCTGGTGGTCTTTGCTTCTTCCACTGCACCCAGTGTGCCGATCCCCACTGGGTCCACCTTGACCGGCTTGTGCCAGAGTCTTTGCAGTTCGATCTTTAAATCCTCATATCGTGTCAGCTTTTCCAGTTGTTTCTCTTCAATCCTGCTGTCGTCTGGAATTGCGACATCAACTATACATACTTTGTTTTTTAACAGGATTGTGAGGTCAGGAGTATTATGCTCCAAAACTCTTTCTGTCTGAGTTCGGAAGTCCCAGAGGAGTTTGGCATGTTCATTTTCTGTAACTTTTTCCGTCTTGTGATCCCACCAGTTCTTTGTCGCAGGCAGATGGTATTTGTGGCACAAGTTCCAATGAATCGTCTGAGCAACAGTGTTGTGCCTCTGCTTGTAGTCTGTCTGCGCGATCTTCTTGCAGCAGCTGAGGATGTGATCTATTGTTTCATCTGCTTCCTTGCAGAGTCCACACTTGGGATCTGTTGTTGACTTTTCAATTCTGGCTTTGATGGCCTTGGTTTGAATGGCTTGTTCTTGGGCTGCCAGAATCAGGCCCTCCGTTTTCTTTTCCAAAGTTCCATTTGTGAGCCACAGCCATGTTTTGTCAGTTATTATTATAATTATTAGGTATATAGATAAGTATATAGATTTGGGAACATTGCATTGAGATTTGGAGTCTGATGAAATGTCAACTTTGAGTCATGAAACTCACTGGGTGAGCCTGGGCCATTTCTTGTTTCATAGGGTTGCTGTGAGTTTTCTGGGTTCTGTGGCTACGTTCCAGAAGCATTCTCTCCTGATGTTTCACCCACATTTTGGCAGGCATCCTTAGAGGTTGTACAGTCTTGTTTCATCATTTCACATATTTACAGAGTTATTGCGGAGATGAAGTACGGAAGAAGAAACTCTTGATGGCCATCTTGAACTCAGTGCTTAAATAAAAGCATGTATTTTGCCTCTTTTTCACAGCCTCTTAGCACTAGGACTGAAGCATTTTGAAGGGACAGAGTTCCCCAAGCCTCTCATCAGCAAGTACCTCCTGACCACAAAGACAGCCCACCAGCTGACGGTGCGGATCAAGAATCTCAACCTGAACCGGGTCCCTGACAATATCCTCAAAGTGAGTGGAGTCTGAATTATTTTTCTTTCCCCATTCGGTCTTCTTGAGCCATTGTGGTTGAGGCCTTTCCTCACCACCTCTGTTGCAATGTAGTGATTGTGTATTTTATTTTTAAGCATTTCTCCCCTGAAATGAAAGTTGGCTGTGAGACTAAAAGTGGCTTAATTAGAGATTTTTTAGTGTGTTGTCAAAGGCTTTCAGGGCTGGAATCACTGGGTTGTATGAGAACCCAAAAGCATTCTCTCCTGAAGTTTCTCCCACATCTCTGGCAGGCATCCTCAGAGGTTGTGAGGTTTATCAGAAACTAGGCAAGTGAGGTTTATATATCTGTGGAATATGTCCAGGGTGGGAGAAAGAGCTATTTTCTGCTCGAGACAAGTGTAAATATTGCAATTGGCCAGCTTGATTAGCATTGAATGGCCTTGTATAACGAATAGAGGGAAATTTAATTAATTTTATAGACGGGGAAATATATAAAATACGAGGGGTATTTTTTAAGTAAGGTCCGTTTGAACATAAGTACACAACGAAAGTTTATTTCAAAAAAGTAAATTTATTTTCAGAAAGTACATACTTCACTCTATTTTTCGACATAGTTGCCAAGTTTGTTCAAACACTTATCATACCTCTGAACCAATTTTAAAATACCCTCTGCATAAAAACTTGCCGCCACCAAAAGCCACCAAAACGTCTGTAATCAAAGAAGGGCGACCGGAACGGTCCTCATCATGGACGTTGTCACGGCCATCTTTGAATTGTCGTTCCCACTTACGCACTTTGCTTTCACTCATAACAGTATCACCGTACACTTCACAAATCTGTCGATGAATTTCTGCAGTAGGCAGGTTCCTTGCTGACAAAAACCGTATCACTGAGCGAACCTCACATGCGGAGGGTGAGTTGATAATCTTAAACATTTTTAAAGCATAGAACAGAACCGTACAGGTTAGCTACAGAGTTGAAACTGAGCACAGTTGTTCCCGAGGCATGCCGGTACACGACGCACGCGCTCGTTGCGGTATGTGCGCGAACTACTAGTGTCTACAACAAAACGGACCTTACTTTTAAAATACCCCTCATAATTCTAATGCTGCTCCACCAAAATTATAACGCACACCAGCACCGCATAACACACAGGCACCACCTAAAAATATATGAACGTACTGTTCACCCAAAAATATAAAACCGTCAAAAGGAAGAGTATTGTTGCTGAACCAACTGTATATTTAAATATCTCTTTGTTTTAATTGTTGAAATATATCTCACTGATTATACCAATATCAGGGGAGATTAAAGCAGAGAAGGGGGTGAGACACTTGGTATTTTAAAAAGGTAGGAACTGGGAAACACTGGAACTGAGAGACTTAATATGTTTCTTCAAAAGAATTCCTCTGACACCATTCTAATATTAATCAGGCTGAGGTAATATTGAGAGTTTGTTCTGTAACACACACTGTGCCACTATCTTTTCTTAGAAGGCTGCTGTGAAGCTGACTTTTAGTAATACTATGACCACAAAGGTACACACACTGAGGCTGGTATAAGTTAATAAAATAACAAGAATGTTTATTGAACAAGCTTGAAGTAATTCAGGTACAAATGCTTAATGGTTTCAGTAAAATACTGACATAAAAAGCTTGTGGTTGCGTTAGAGTCAAAATCTTAAAAACCTCTGGGTTACAAGTCTTCAAAGCTCCACCACAGAAAATTACTTCAGGACATTAATCCCTGAAAGTAACTCCCAAAAATGCCCCTTGGGAATCTAGCCAAAAATACCCTGAACTAGACTTCCTTAGGAATTGAACAGACCACTAACGGGGTACTGCTCCACAACACAGTATTCTAGCTATCTCCTAAATAGCTACTCTGAATACTTCACAAAAGAGAAGAATCATAATGTGAGAGCTGAGCCAAAGGGCAGAGTTGTCACAGGATCGCTGAAATATGGACGACCGAATTCTCTTTGTTTGGCCTTCAGTATTACAAGACGACCAAGCAATTGCCTGTCCTGTCCAGGCTCTGCGAGGAGGTCCAGCCCAACGATTGGAAGCCCCCCCTTGAACACGAAGAACACCGTTTGCCCTTTTGGTTGAAGGTATTTTCTGTTTTTCTATAGAAGGAACTGTAACTTGGCTTTTAGAGAAGGAACTGTAACTTGGCCATTTTGCAGTGCAGATAGTCCCAGGTTGGATGTCTTGAGTAGGGTTGGGAAAGACCCTGGAGAGCTGCTATCTGTCGAGTCCACATCCTTTGGGAGGCTTCTCTCATGTCCCTGCATGAGAAGCTGGAGCTGACAAACAGGAGCTCACCCTGCTCCCTGGATTCGAACTGCCAACCTCCTGCCAGCACAAGGGTTTAGCCCATTGCACCATCGGGGGTCTGTAAAACATCTAAATTGAGGCTTTTGAATGTAATTTTGTGTATATTTATTGTATCTTAATTGTATTTGAACTTTATATCCACACAGTACTATTTAATTGTTTTCTAATTTTTTGTACTTGTTTTCTTTTGAACTGTGATCAGATTATTGTCGAAGACTTTTGTGGGTTGTGCATTTTCAGGGCTGTATGGCCATGTTCCAGAAGCATGTTCTCCTGACATTTTGCCTGCACCTATGGCAGAGCATCCTCAGAGGTTGTGAGGAGGGCCAGGTCACAGTCCCTCAAACTGTTGGAGGGCCGGATTATAATTTGAAAAAAACATGAATGAATTCCTATGCACACTGCACATATCTTATTTGTAGTGCAAAAACCACTAAAAACAATACAATAATTAAAATGAAGAATTTTTTTTAACAAAAATAAACTTATTAGTATTTCAGTGGGAAGTGTGGGCCTGCTTTTGGCAGATGAGATAGGGTTGTTGTTGTTGTCAAAGGCTTTCATGGCCGGAATCACTGGGTTGTTGTAGTTTTTTCGGGTTATATGGCCATGGTCTAGAGGCATTCTCTCCTGACGTTTCACTTGCATCTATGGCAAGCATCCTCAGAGGTAGTAAGGTCTGAGGATGCTTGCCATAGATGCAGGCGAAATGTCAGAAGAGAATGCTTCTAGACCATGGCCATATAACCCGAAAAAACTACAACAACCCAGTTGTTGTTGTTATTGTTGTTGTGTGCTTTCAAGTCATTTCAGACTTAGGTTGACCCTGAGCGAGGGCCGGGTAAATGACCTTGGAGGACCGTATCCGGCCCCTGGGTCTTAGTTTGAGGACCCTTGCAATAGGTAGACTTGGAACAATGACCATTGGAACGGCCCGGATTACGCTCGTGGATTACACGTTTAACTCTTAATGTATTGTTTTTCAATATTTTAATTGTTTTAATGTAATTTTCAATTCTATTTTAATATATATATATTAATATATATTTCAATTCTAATTTAATATATATTTAAGTGTACATTGTGTTTTAAGGCATTGCATGTATGTAAAGCCTCCTGGGGTGAGAAATGTCGTAAATAATAATAAATAAATCTCCCATCCAGGCCAGCTTACCATCCATCCAAGAGGAGCTGGAGAAACTGGCGAGGGAAGCCTCTGCTCCAGGAAGTGAACCTCTCAAGACAGGAAGTGAGCCCGCGGAGCCAGGGCAGGGTCACAAGTATCCCCTGCACATGCCAGAGGGGCTGCAATGGATGCTCAGGCCCCTGAACAGCTGCTTATTTCGGAAAACCTGGAGGCGGCAACGGCCGGCCGCTGCCAAGCCCCTCCCTGTCCGGACGGGCCTTTGCTTTCCTCCCGCCGGCAGCAACAACTTTTCCAAAATGTCTGCCAGGCACCCCCAGCCGGAAGCTCCTCCCAGCAAAGGGTCTGGCCGCGTCCCCCGCTTGATCCAGCCTGCACCCTTTCTGCAACCTTTGCCCTTAAACCTGCAGCCTGCCCTAGGGAATGGCGCAAACTTTGAGCTCCAGGGTCTTCTTCCTGCTCGGCATCCGAACCCTGGGGCCTGCCTGGCTCCCGACGTGGCCCAGAACATAATTCCCACTCTCCCCGTCACCTTTCAGCCTAAAATGATGCTCCCGGTGCTGAGAGTCCGGAAGCCGGGACCCGTTAGGGGATATCAGAAGAAGAAGGCCCCCCTCCGAGCCGCCCCGTTGCTCAAGCCTGCTCCGTTGCTCCAGCCGACGCCTGTCATCTTCACCGTCCCGACCGGGGCCGTCAACGTGGTTGGGATTGCCAATGGTTGCAACGTGTTGGCTGCAACCCCAACAGGGAGATCTCCGCAACCCATTCCCATCACCACTCTGCTGGTCAACCCTGCCCCTTTCCCTTGCCCGCTGAACCAACCACTTGCGGTCCCTTCCGCTCCTTCTTTAGTGGTCGCGCCTACCTCTGCATCTCCCATCGCCTCCACAGCCGTGACAGTGGCCAATGTCATGGCACCGGTGGCAGGTCCCATTCTGGTGGAACCTAAAGCAGAGCCACAAGAACCATCCCCTTGTGCTGCAGCCTCATCCAAGGAGGACAACATACTCTGGTCCTCTGATCCCAACAAAGAGGGTCCTGTCCAGACTTCTGTGGAGATGACAGAAGAGAAAGCAGCCCCGTGTCCTTTCTCCCTTTTGACAACGGGAGGAGAGATAGAAAAGGTCAAAGACGACGCTAGTGATGCCCCTCGTGAAGCTGTCCTTGTTCCAGAGATACCAAGCTCTTTGGTCCCCCTGCCGAAAGAAGACGTGGTGCTGGATCTTGGGCAGGAGCTGGACATTGAGCCTCCGCCTGAGTCTGCCGAGGAGCCCAAGGAGAATCCAAAGAAGCAAGGCTCCAGCGAGAAAGGGAAGGGAGACCTAGGCTCCCCTGAGCCACTCCCTGTGAGCAAAGAAAGAACCACTTCTTCCAAAGATTCCTGCAGCGCTACTGAGTCTGTATCCTCCCGATTAAAGCCAGAAGGTGGGTCCAGTCTGCCAGTCAGCCAGGAGACGTCCGGGGAGAAAGATGGACCGGAGGAGGAGGAAGAGGAGGACTTTGACGATTACATCCATGACGAGGAAGATGAGGAGATGTCCTCGGCTTCAGAGGAGTCTGTGCTTTCTGTGCCGGAGCTTCAGGTAAACCTTTTATCTCCTAAGGCAGTGGTTCTCAACCTTTCTAATGCCGCAACCCCTTAATGCAGTTCCTCATGTTGTGGTGACCCCCGACCATACAATTACTTCATACTGTAGTTTTGCTACTGTTATGAATCATAATGTAAATATCTGATATGCAGGATGTATTTTTATTTCACTGGACCAAATTCAGCACAAATAACCTATACGGCTCCGGTCCAGCATACCTATCCGAACGGATCTCCTTCTACGTCCTACCTCAGAGTTTAAGACCTTCTGGGGAGGTCCTGCTCTCGGCCCTGCCTTTGTCTGGTGGGGACCAGGGACTGGGCCTTCTTGGTGGTAGCCCCCCGCCTGTGGAATTCGCTCCCCGGGGAAATTAGGTCATCATCATCCCTCCTCATCTTTAGAAAGAAGGTCAAAACGTGGTTATGGGACCAGGCCTTAGGGCAATCAGGTTAATGGGCAATTGATAATGTCTGACAATGGCTTGGAAGTGGATTTGGATAAGTTAAACAGAATAATCATTAGTATATGGCTAGATAAATAGCCACTAGATTGGCAATAGCTAAATGGATCAAAAGTATACTGTTTTAATCTTTATTTATTAATATCCATGTTTTTAATTGTTATATTTGCTATTTTGTATTTTATGATGCAGCATTGAATTATTGCCAATTGGAAGCCGGCCTGAGTCCCCCCAGGGGTTGCGAAGGGCGGGGTAAAAATGTTTGAAATAAATAAATAAATAAATAAATACACCCTAATTTGAATAGTGGTGGGGTTGGGAATTGATTTTTGTCATTTGGGCGTTGTAGTTGTTGAGATTTATAGTTCACCTACAATCCAAGAGAATTCTGAACGATGGAAGGTGAATTTCTGCCAAAATCCTCCAGTATTTTTTGCTAGTCATGGGGGCTTTGTATGCCAAGTTTGGTCCAAGTCTATCTTTGGTGGAGTTCAGAGTGCTCATTAATTGCAGATGAACTATAAATCCCACTACCTACAGCTCCAGAGCCAGGTTTTTACCTGTTTTCTAAAGGTCAGGAGAGAAGGGGCAGTTCTAATCTCCAGTGGGAGAGAGTTCCAGAGCCGAGGGGCCACCACCAAGAAGGCCCTGTCCCTCGTCCCCACCAGACGCGCTTGCAAGGATGGTGGGACCGAGAGCAGGGCCCCTCCAGACGATCTTAACAATCTTGATGGTTCATAGGAGAGAATCCGTTCGGACAGGTAAACTGGGCCGGAGTCGTTTAGGGATTTATAGGTTAACACCAGCACTTTGAATTGTGCTCGGAAGCTAATTGGCAGCCAGTGGAGCTGGCGCAACAGAGGAGTAGTATGCTCCCTGTACTCTGCTCCTGTTAGTAATCTGGCTGCCATTCGTTGGACTAGTTGGAGCTTCCGGGCAGTCTTTAGAGACAACCCCACGTAGAGAGCATTGCAGTAATCTAAACGGGATGTAACCAGAGCTTGGGCCACCATGGCCAAGTCAGGTGAACTACAACTCCTGCAAATCCTTCTAAAGACCGCCAGTATTTTTGTTGATTATGCGGGTTCTGTGTACCAGGTTGGTTCCAGGTCCGTCATTGGTGGACTTTAGAGTGCTCTTAGATTGCAGGTGAGCTACAGTGGTCCCTCACTACTTCACATTTCACTTTTCGTGGACTCACTGTTTCGCAGTTTTTCAATAAATATTAATGTAAAATGTAAAATGATTTGCAGAGATGCCAGTGGGGATCTTTGTGAGCTATGCAGTTCCCACCTTCGCATTATATCATCTTCTGTTTATGGCAAGTGCCCCATCTCTCACCTGTGAGAAACAGGATGCTGGACTGATTGGCTTGGACATGGAGCCAGACTATTCCTCTGATGCTGTGTTTTTGTGGGTTAAAGGAAACAATGGAGAAGCTGACCTGGCTTGCATCTGAGAGGCGCCTGAGCCAAGAGGGTGACTCAGAGGAAGAGAATTCCCAGGAGGAGAACTCTGAGCCTGAGGAAGAGGAGGAGGAGGAGGAGGAAGGAGAAGGGGAGAACCTGGAGAGTCTGCAGAAGGAGGATGAAATGACGGATGAAGTGACCAATTCCGCAGACAGGCCTGCGTTGTCTCTTACCTTGACCTGCACTGTCCCAGAAGTGGAGCCCAGTCGCTCCCCACCAGGTGAGCTTACAGAGCATGACCCCTCTGCTAAAGTGGGAATCCTCTCAAATAGCAGATGTGAGATGGTACAGTTGCCATGGATCAGCATCAAGGCAGGCTTACCAGATCCACTTTCCTAAACTAAGTAATCCTTGTACAAAATCTACCAAAATTTCTTCAAAGTGCTGGCTTTGGCCTATAAAGCCCTAAACGGCGTCGCCCCAAATTACCTGTCCAAACGCATCTCTTTCTATGAACCATCGCGGAGATTAAGATCCTCCGGGGAGGTCCTGCTTTCCTTCCCGCCATTGTCACAGGCGCGATTGGTGGGGACGAGAGACAGGGCCTTCTCGGTGATTGCTCCTCGGCTATGGAACTCACTTCCTGGCGAGATCAGGTCGGCCCCCTCCCTCCTGTCCTTTAGGAGGATTGTAAAAACGGTTTGGGACCTGCCTACCCGCGTGACCGCATCTCTGTGTACGAACCCACACGATCTCTTCGTTCATCTGGAGAGGCCCTGCTTACGATCCCATCAGCGTCGCAAGTGCGATTGGTGGGGACAAGGGATAGGGCTTTCTCGGTGGTGGCCCCTCGACTGTGGAACTCTCTCCCTAACGACATCAGGCAGGCCCCGTCGCTAGCAATCTTTAGGAGGAGCTTGAAAACGTGGTTGTTCCAGTGTGCCTTTCCAGAATAAGGAAACTCCTAGCATTATGTCCCAACGCACTTTATCCAGAATATCTGCATGCCCATCCACCTCCAAACACCCCACCTTGCCATGCCCAGCACTTTTAATTTTAATTATTACATTTGGCCCGGCCATTGTTTTTAATTGCGTCATTGGGTGTTGTTAATTGTTATTGCTTTTTTTTTTGTTTTTTTGAGTTATTGTGTTGTTGTTGTTGTTGCTGTTTATATTGTTGTATTTGGGCTCGGCCTCTTGTAAGCCACACCGAGTCCTTCGGGAGATGGTAGCGGGGTATAAATAAAGTTTTATTATTATTATTATTATTACTATTAATATTATTATTATTATTGGCTGTGGGACCAAGCTTTCGGGACAGGGCAATAAAGCGGCAGTAGGAAAAATTACCAGGCCAATTAGATTAGACGTGGATGACTACAACGGTTTTAAATGGTATATTTTAATATTTTGATAAATGTTTTTTAATGTTTATGTATGTATATGAGAATTTGTGTCCCGGCATTGAATGTTTGCCGTATATATGCTGTGCTCTGCCCTTCGGGGTGAGAACGGCGGAATATAAATGCCTAAAATAAATAAATAAATAAATGTTCTGTTTTGGTCTATTAGGGAAGAGGTGACAGCTTTGCCTTAATGGTCTTTGTATTCCCGCATCCTGCATGAACAAGGAGCTATTGGCTGGGCTTTAGCATAGCTGCACCAGGCTTTTTATCACCAGCAGCAATAGATCACACCAATCAAAAGGTTGGCAGTTCAAAGTCTGGCAGTGGCTGGTCATTTGTGTAGATGTTGAACATGGATGGAGCAAGCACGCTCACCTGAGGCAGGCTGTTCTTCCGTTTCTGCCATCTGCTTCTCTGGCCCTGGAACTCAACAAAAAAGCTCCTGTTTTGTAGCAGGTTTCCTATGAGGCGGGTGAGGTGGTCGTCCTTTGTGATATTATACATTTTTCTCAGGAGGAGGCAGTGGTTTACAGTATCATAAGTCGCTGACAGGTCTATGAAGACAGCTCCTGTGATCTGCTGCCTTCGGGGTGAGAAGGCTGAAATATAAATGCTGTAAAAAAATAATTTTTCTATTTCTATTTCTCTGATTGGTTTCTTCTAGGGGAAAACGCCAAAGCGCCTGGGAAAAGCCGGAACTCCTATCGAAGTCGGGCCAAGCGAGGCCGGTCTCGCGCCAGCAAGGACACCTCCAAGCTGCTGCTTCTCTGTGATGAAGACATCCTGGAGCGAGATCCTTTGCGGGAGCAGAAGGACTTAGCCTTTGCACAGGCCTACCTCAGTCGGGTAAGGAGACCCTGGGAAATGTCAGAAAAATTAAACATTGACTAGGTTAATCACTGAAATCGTTAAATGGATGCAATGGGGAGGGTCTTTTGTTAATAAGCCCACTCATCCAACAGGAAACAAGTTCATCGTGGCCTTCAAACCGAACATAAATAAGGTCTTTCAGGGAAGGCAAAGGTTTGAGAATTTAGTGTTTGGTGAACATAAGAAGCTGGAGGACTTTTCCTACAAGGCTATGTTGTAGCTATGACTCAAGGCTTTTGGGCTTTCAGATCCTTTGACTGCAGCTTCCAGAACCTACCCTAGATTACCTGTTTGGTAAATCCCAATTTGACACAGACTCAGATATTCTGGCCCTGGCTCCAGTGTTGTCTTCCAATCTAATAATGTTAAATTGAAACTGGCTGCACTTCCTTTCGAGAAATGTGTGATGGGCTTTAAAGAAAGCCCTAAACGGTTTGGGACCCACCTACCTTCGTGACCGTATCTCTCTCCACGTACCAACCCGTGCCCTTCGATCTTTGGGGGAGGCCCTCTTTTCACCCCTACCAATCTCACAAGCTCGTCTTGTGGGCATGAGGGAGAGAGCCTTCTCCTCTGTGGCTCCCTGACTTTGGAACTCATTACCTGGAGAGATCAGGAAAGTCCCTACCCTTGAAATGTTAAAAAAGGACCTTAAAACCTGGCTCTTCCGCTGCGCCTTTGGCAAGTAGGTGCACAACATGACATTACTGCACCCCTCAATGCTTTTGCCACTGTACACGCCCTCAAAATGAGAAGTTTAGCTTCACAACTCTGCTTGTTTTTATGAGTTCCCTGCAAATAACCTGCTCCTATTTTTTATCTCATTAGATTTTAATCGTTTTATCTTGTACATGTGGCCTGCCCATTGTTATCATGATTGTGTTTATTGGAATGTTATTTTATGACTATGTTATACTGCTTTGGTTTTTTTTCCTATGTAATTTTGATGATGTTGTTTGTTGTTTATGCTTTGCTTCTATTTTGCTGAGAGGTCAACCCTCCTGTTTAAGGAGCTTCATTGACTGCCGTTCATTTTCCGGTCCCAATTCAAGGTGCAGGTGCTCACCTACAAAGCCCTAAACGGTTTGGGACCCGCCTACCTGCATGACCGCATCTCCGTATATGAACCCACACGATCCCTCCGTTCATCTGGAGAGGCCCTGCTCACGATCCCACCTGCGTCACAAGCGCGTTTGGTGGGGACGAGGGACAGGGCCTTCTCTGTGGTAGCCCCCCGACTCTGGAACTCTTTCCCCAAGGACATCAGACAAGCCCCAACTCTGGCAGTCTTTAGGAAGAGCTTGAAGACCTGGCTGTTCCAGTGTGCCTTTCCAGAATAGGAAACTCCGAGCATCATGTCCCAAACGCACTTTACCAGAGATTTAGGATTGTCTGCACATCGCTCCTGCCCTAGAGTCCTAACATTTCACCTGTCACGTCCAGCACTTTTAATTCATTCGTTACATTTGGCCCGGCCCTTAGTTTTAATTGTGTCATGATGTATTGTTTAATGTTTTACTGTTATTGCTTTAATTTTATTGGTTTGCTTTATGAGTTTTATTGTTGTATTTGTTATGCTGTTGTTTTATTGAGGGCCGCACCGAGTCCTTCGGGAGATTTTAGTGGGGTACAAATAAAGTTAATAATAATAATAAATAATTAATATTATGTTGTCCGGGCTTGGCCCCATGTAAACCGCTCCGAGTCCCCACTGGGGAGATGGTGGCGGGGCATAAATAAAGTTTATTATTATTATTAATGCTTCCGCCAATCTCTTCGCTTCCCAAGAGATTATTATTATTATTTATTAAACTTTATTTGTACCCCGCTAGCATCTCCCGAAGGACTCAATACGGCTTACAAAGGCCAAGGCCTCAAACAACAACAGATAATAACAATTCAAAGCAAGCAAATTAAAAACATAAGCAATAACAAAAACAAAACATTACACTGTTACGCAGTAAAACCAGGGCCGGACCAATGAAGGGTACAGGTTAAAAGTGCTGGGTGTAAGAGGTAATGTGTTGGGATTCTAGGCAAGTGCAATGTGCAGAGAGTCTTAAGCTCTAATAAAGTGCTTCTGGGACGGAGTGCTAGGGGTTATCCTATTCAGGAAAGGCACATCGAAATAGCCATGTCTTCAAGTTCTTCCTAAAGACTGCCAACGTGGGTGCAAGTCTAATGTCTTTGGGGAGGGTGTTCCAAAGTCGGGGGGCAACCACAGAGAAGGCCCTGTCCCTCGTCCCCACCAAACGAGCCTGCGACGCAGGTGGGATCGCGAGTAGGGCCTCTCCAGATGAGTGGAGGGAGCGTGTGGGTTCATATACGGAGATGCGGTCACGCAGGTAGGCAGGTCCCAAACCGTTTAGGGCTTTGTAGCTAAGCACCTGCACCTTGAATTGGGCTTGGTAGGTAAATGGCAGCCAATGGAGCTCCTTAAACAGGAGGGTTGACCTCTCTCTGTAAGGGGCACCGGTTAACATCCTGGCCGCCACCCGTTGAACCAGTTGGAATTTCCGAGCCGTTTTCAAGGGCAGCCCCACGTAGAGCGCATTACGATAATCCAACCTAGAGGTGACTAAGGCATGGACTACCCCATGACATGGATTCACTGTCATGACCTTATTTCCTGGTTTTGTGTGAAACCAGGAAATTAGGCCATGCCTTAGATCCCCTACCGCAAGGTGGCGCTTTTTAGACCGGGTCTACAATAAAGAAGCCAGGACCAGGACAGAGTTTTTGTTGTTCATTCGTTCAGTCATTTCCGATTCTTTGTGACCTCATGTATCAGCGCAGGCCAGAGCTCCCTGTTTGCTGTCACCACCCCCAGCTCCTTCAAGGTCAATCCAGTCACTTCAAGGATGCCATCCATCCATCTTGCCCTCTAGGTTCTTGCGGGTTTTTTCGGGCTATAGATCCATGTTCTAGAGGCATTCTCTCCTGACGTTTCGCCTGCATCTATGGCAAGCATCCTCAGAGGTAGTGAGGATGCCACTACCTCTGAGGATGCTTGCAATAGATGCAGGCGAAACGTCAGGAGAAATGCCTCTAGAACATAGCTCTATAGCCCGAAAAAACCCACAAGAACCTAGTGATTCCAGCCATGAAAGCCTTCGACAATACATCTTGCCCTCTTCTTTTTTCCTTCCATTTCCCCCAGCATAATTGTCTTCTCTAAGCTTTCTTGTCTTCTCATGATGTGGCCAGATTACTTCATCTTTGCCTCTACTAAACCTTAGATCTGGCCTGTGTATATTTGAAACAAGGGCGAGGGTTGCCATGGAAATGGGAGCAATGAAGGGGAGGGACCAGTGTGAGGAATAGGAGGCATGAGGGAAATAAACTGGCAGTTGGAATTTTGTTTCGTACCCTAATGTATGCTTTTAGAGAAATAAAGCTTTCCCACTTCGTTTGTGTGGTAATTTTTTGTCAGAAAGCCATAGATCTGGACGTTCACAGCCTCTTTCCCTTCCCTTTGGTGGTGTCCCTGGTTCATGGTAGACTCAGTCTGGACTGGAATGAACTGGTTGCAACAATTTGCAGTTTATTTAGATGCAATGTTTGGTGTATACCCTTTTCCCTCTAACAACGAGGTGCCCCTGTTTCTCCAGGTGCGTGAGGCCTTGCGGAGTGTGCCAGGGAAGTATGACGAGTTTCTCCGCATAATTTATGAGTTTGAGAGCAATGCTCAGAAGCAGACGGCCGTCGACCTCTATGCACGGCTGCGGAGTGTGCTGCAGGAATGTCCCCAGCTGCTCACGGACTTTGCAGCCTTCCTCCTGCCCGAACAAGCCCTGGAGTGTGGCCTGGTGCGTAGGATGGAGTAGGGTATGAATCTGTGTCATGGCTGGATTCAGAGAGGGGCAAACTCAGGGTTCTTTTCTCTTTTTCCCTGTGCAGTTTGAGGAGCAGCAAGCTTTTGAGAAGAGTCGGAAGTTCCTTCGGCAGCTGGAGATCTGCTTTGCTGAGAACCCTTCTCACCACCAGAAGATCATCAAGGTCCTGCAGGGCTGTGCGGAGTGCCTGCCTCAGGAGATTATGGAGGTAAAAAGCCAATGCGGGTTTCTTTCCCATCTATCATACTATGTGTATGGGTGTGAATAATATCTATCTATGTCTATCGCTGGATGGATCTTTGTCAGGAGGGCTTTGATTGTGTTTTCTTACCTTGTGAAGGGAGTTGGACTGGGTGGCCTTAAGTATTTTCTGTTGGTCATGGGGGTTCTGTGTAGGAACTTTGCCCCAATTCCATTGTTGGTGGGGTTCAAAATGCTCTTTGATTGTAGTTGAACTATAAATCCAAGTAACTATAACTCCCTAATGTCAAGGTGTATTTCCCCCAAACTCCACCTGTGTTCACATTTGGGTATATGAAGTATTTGTGCCAAGTTTGGTCCGGATCCATCATTAATTGAATCCACAGTGATCTCCAGATGTAGGTGAACTACAACTCCCCATCTCAAGGTCAATGAATCATAGAATCAAAGAGTTGGAAGAGACCTCATGGGCCATCCAGTCCAACCCCCTGCCAAGAATCAAGAATATTGCATTCAAATCACCCCAGACAGATGGCCATCCAGCCTCTGTTTAAAAGCTTTCAAAGAAGGAGCCTCCACCACTGGGGCAGAGAGTTCCACTGCTGAACGGCTCTCAACAGTCAGGAAGTTCTTCCTCACGTTCAGATAGAATCTCCTTTCTTGTAGTTTGAAGTCATTGTCTTCCAGAATTTCCTGTTGATTGTGGGAGTCCTATGTGCCAAGTTTGGTTCAATTCCATCATTGGTTGGGTTCAGAATGCTCTTTATTGTAGTTGAACTGTGAATCCCAGCAACTACAACTCCCAAATGACGAAATCCATGTTTTTTGAGTGATGGTCACTCCTTGGGGTAGTAGGTGTATTGTGTCCAAAATTGGCTTTGAATCCCCTTCGGGGTGAGAAGGGTGGCATATAAATGTCGTAAATATAAAAATAAGTACATTTTCTTTTTCCGTGGTGAATTGGATGATTGGGTGGATGCTGTTGAGGTGGTCAAGGAACTTGCCTTGTTTCCAACTAACCTCACAACCTATGGATGCCTGCCATAGATGTGGACGAAAAATAAGAGAACATGGCCAGACAACTTAGAAGGCTCATAGCAACCCAGTGATTCCGGCCATGAAAACCTTCGGCAACACAATACTAATCTCCCGTCTCCTTTTCCCCTCTTTCCTTTCTCTTCTTGTCTGCCTTTTTTCCCCTCTGTCCTTCTCCTGGTTAGCTGAAGACCCAGATGTGGCAGCTGCTGAAAGGTCACGATCACCTGCAGGACGAGTTCTCTGTTTTCTTTGATCACTTGCGCCCTTCCGCCAGCCGCTTGGGAGACTTTGAGGAGATTAACTGGACAGAGGAAAAGGAATATGAGGTGGGGACTTATTGGGGAAACCCTTTTCTCCCTCTCTGGCCATGTTGACTGATCCTGATGGGAGTTGGAGTCCAGCAGCATCTGAAAGGCTACTGGTCCCCTACTCTTGGTGTGTAGAAATAGATCGGCCTGAAATGGGCTCCGCTGCTTAACACCGTTCCTGTTCTCCTCCTAGTTTGATGGGTTCGAAGAAGTCTCCTTGCCAGAGGTAGAAGAAGAGGAGGAACCCCCCAAAATGCACACAGCCTCAAAAAATAAGAGGAGGAAGGAACTCGGAGGCCAGAACACTGACAAGGTGAGCGGAGAACACTAGGAAGGCCTGTTGGTAAACTCTCCAGAATTGGCATTGTGCTGATAGAGTCAGAATCATAGAATCAAAGAGTTGGAAGAGACCTCGTGTGCCATCCAGTCCAACCCCATTCTGCCAAGAAGCAGGAATATTGCATTCAAATCACCCCTGACAGATGGCCATCCAGCCTCTGTTTAAAAGCCTCCAAAGAAGGAGCCTCCAACACACTCCAGGGCAGAGAGTTCCACTGCTGAACAGCTCTCACAGTCTCTTCTTCCTCGTGTTCAGATGGAATATCTTGTACTTTGAAGCCATTGTCCCACGTCCTAGTCTCCAGGGCAGCAGAAAACAATCTTGCTCCCTTCTCCCTGTGATTTCCTCTCACATATTTATACATGACTATCATATCTCCTCTCAGCCTTCTTTTCTTCAGGCTAAATATGCCCAGCTCTTTAAGACGCTTATAAAGGCTACGCAGATGGCAATACGATCAATCCCACCATCTGCCACCAAATTATAAAGTCTCCTTTATGGCCAAACAATATAACTGGACAGGGGGCAAACAGATCCCACCAACTGTCCTTCCTTTAAAATAAAGAATTCACTGGCACCTATATAACATTTGAGGAGATGTCTCTCTAGTTAACTTCCGCTGCCACCATAAGTATAAGTACAGGAACACTCTAGCTATTCAAAAATATCAAAATTACTTCTAGGACCACCAAGTACTGTGTCTTTTAAATGGCTTCTTTGAAGGAAAACAGGTGAGGTTGATTTAAAAGGAAAAGGGACTAAATCCACAAATGTACACTTGACTCAGGCTTAAGTTTCAAAAAAAATCAAGTAAAGTTTATTGATAGAGGTACAGAATGAAGTGAATGCTGTCTAATAAGCTTGGCTGTTACAGATAAAATGTTTTAGTTCTTGAAAGCGTAATGGTTGCATGAGAATGGTTCTTTCTTTGTTACAAATTACAAAACCCAGCTATTTCTTCCTTAAATAGCTGTACCCAGTTTGCTACAGCTCACTTCGCTGGCAAACTTCAGGCAAACTGCCTATTCTTAATATGAACTCCTAAAAACTTCTCTAATCCTGCTCTAAACTCTAACATCAACAGACTAACTGACTAAAAAAACTTCTTTCTTTCCCTCCAAACAGTCTAACTCCGCCCCCCTTTAATAAACCAATCCTGGCTGTTTCAAGGCTGGCTCAGGCCTAGGCCACTCCCCCTCTCTGAAGTGGAGCTTTCCCTAAACTAAAATGGCTCCTGCTGCCCTCTGCCAGGCCTTCTAAGGTTGAAATTAACTAGCCTGCCTCTCCTAGGCCCTGCCACCCAGGCTGGTAAGGTAAGGGATCTTCACAACGCTCTTCATAGGGCTTGTTCTCCAGACCCTTGATCATTTTAGTCGCCCTCCTCTGGACACATTCCAGCTTCTCAATATCTCTCTTCAATTGTGGTGCCTAGGATTGGACACAATATTCCAGGTATGGTCTAACCAAGGCAGAATAGAGCTTGGGGAGCATGACTTCCCTAGATCTAGGCACTATGCTCCTATTGATGCAGACCAATATCCCATTTGCTTTTTTTGTCGCCACATCACATGTTGGCTCATGTTTAACTTGCTGTCCATGAGGACTCCAAGATCTTTTTCACATGTACTGTTCTCGAGCCCGGCGTCCCCCATTCTGTATCTTTGCATTTCGTTTTTTCTGTCTAAGTGGAGAATCTCAACCGTAATGTCTTAATGTTTGAATTCAAGCCCCCAGACTTCGGGGTTATGGCACAACCTTGCATCAGGAGGCATGGCTACAAGAGATAGCTAGAATAATCTCCCATTTACCACCCAGTTCTCTTTTCTCAGCTCATGTCGATATCTTCTGTACTGCTTTCTTTTAGGAGCCTGAGTGGGCCGAGGGGACGAAGGAATGCTTCTGCTCATGCCATGAGGGCACCAGCGACCTCCGGATGAAGCGGAGCAAGCGAAGGGGTTGCAGCCATTGCAGCAACAAGGTAGGTCCTGAAAAGAAGCACAAACAAGGGGGAAGAGACTAAGGAGCTGGTAAGCACTAGCTACCTTCCCTAGCAATAGGGGCCGCGGTGGCGCAGCGTGTTAAACTGCTGAGCTGCTGAACTTGGGGTATAGGGTGGAAACCTGTGCTCGATGGGGTTGCACTCCCCTGAAGTCACAGGTCCACAGCTTGGGTGTCCTCCTAGATTCATCACTAATGCTTGAAGCCCAGGCGTCAGCAGTAGCTGGAAGGGCCTTCGCACAATTAAAACTCGTGCACCAGCTGTGACCGTACCTCGTGAAATCGGATCTGGCCATGGAGGTCCATGCCTTAGTCACCTCCAGATTGGATTACTGTAATGCACTCTACGTGGGGCTGCCCTTGAAGACTGCTCGGAAATTTCAATTAGTCCAATCTCTTCGATCATCTGGAGAGGCCCTGCTCTTGCTCCCACCCCCTTTGCAGGCACAATTGGAGGGGACAAGGGAAAGGGCCTTCTCTGTGGTGGCCCCCCGACTCTGAACTCACTCCCCAAGGATATCAGACAAGCCCCCACATTGGCAGTCTTTAGGAGGAGCCTGAAAATGTGGCTGTTCCAGTGTGCCTTCCATGAATAAAAGAAACAATGCCCTGCTCTGATTAATTCTCTGCAATTGTCCTCAGAAGCACGTTAACTACCTGTTGGGTTGGTCTCCTTATTATCTTTTAAACTCTTTATGATGTTTTAAAACTTTTTTTATGATGTTGAGCATTGAATTTTGCTATTGTTAACCGCTTTGAGTCGCCCAAGGGCTGAGAAAAGCGG